TCACTTGATTACAGGCATCTGAGTTAAAGAACCACTGACCTTCTTTTAGCTAGTTGATAGCTTCCTCCCATCAAAGAATCCAAAGTCACTGGCAGAATACTGAATCACAACAGTAAGGGGCAAATGGTTTGAAGTGGTCTTAACCACTGTAAAACATATGACCCTAAATATGGACTAAACACACTGAATTTTTCTTCCTAACCAATATGTACACCTGCTACAGAAATGAGTAAAAATCTACATTTCCAGTTTGCAGATTCTAAGCATCATTCTTGACCTATTTCATATGTTTATTTGCCTCCACATCTTTAAAGAAAACATAAATAATTGTGTCATAATAAATAGATTCTTGAGAGATATTAACCTGTTTCCTCTAGTAGGGAATACACTACTCTAATAACAAAACTGTTGCTAACTAATTGATCAAAAACAACTTGACAAATGTCATGGGAGAAGTTTAGATCCCCCCACTAATATATTTGCATGTCATTCTTACATAAAACAGATGGGATTAAACAGACATATGGAATATTTCCCACTTATATTTCCTCAAGAGGCCGATATTGCGTGAAAGGACAAAATGAAGGAGGCACTCTTGAACTAAATCTATATCAAAAGTCAATGGTGAAAATATTTGGATAATTTATAATGAAGACTTTGTATGCTGTCGTATTCAAAAGCTTGACTTTCCATATGAGGTACTAGATTTGAGTCTCATAATGTAAGTATATTGTAACTGAACATGACAAGTACTTGAACCTTTATTCTGCTTGTGGTACCTGTGTGACCAATGTAGACAATGTAGACCAAGATCAGCTGGCCAATCCCTGATTATGGACAAGACCATTTGAAATATATAGTGTGCATGGTTAGGGTTTTGGAACATTGGCTTAAGAGTATGCATTACAGCGATACATACATTGTAGATTTACTGGGTTAATAAATTTAAATAGTTTTTTTTTTATTGAGTTTTATGTCATTCCAACACAGTACAGGTGATATGGTGACTTGTCAGATTTACATGGAGGCAAACCTCAAGTGCCCTTCTCTGCATTATTTCAGGTAAAAGAGTAGACCCATCAAGGGTCCATAAGCTAGCTGGATAGTAGTTCTTCACAGGAAAGAATCCAAAGTCCCCAGCAGGGAAAGGATGGGCAAGTGATTTTTAACCATTTGGTCACAGACACTCATATGCTTAGAACCTATTTAAAGCACTCGATTACATTCCCTTGACAAACACAGATGGATGTTTCTCTAAGTAACTGTTGTCAAATCATTTAATATAATTATCATATAAAGCAAATACTTAATTTTCAATAAAAAATCTATGAAGTACATGGTGCCAAACATCATTCCTAGAAAAAGAAAGCTGTCTCTTAATGCATTTTCAGAAACATAAAATTGGCTGAAAATGATGTGATTAGGTTCTTTAAAATAGCATTTACCAGGATGCTGTTGGTAATTAACAAACAATTAAGTAAATTTTCATGACTAAGTTCTCAAATTAAAGTAATCATGACACTTATTGTAGGACATGTTACATTTAAATCTATTTTTAAGTTTAAAACAAATCTATTTTTGTTTGATTGTTAAAAAAAGTTCTTTCAACCTAATAATGATTTTCATTCAGTAGACAAATCTGAAATGCTAATATCGTAAAAATTCTTGGGTTGAGAGGCAGACATCATAAACAATTAAAGCAACAGTTTTACTGCTCCTTATTTAACCTGGGACATTACATTCTGTGACACAATACATGTATAACAGGACATGTGTGCTTGTCCCCCATTTTGTTTTTTGTTCATCATTGTGAAAAAGTTAGTTTTTGTGCATAGTTAACAGTGTAAGCAAACAAGCATACAATTTTAACAGTCCTTAAGTACATTTGTATTTAAATGGTCTTTATATTATTTTATTTATTTTTTAATTCATTGATTTCATTTTCCATAATAGCGACATGAATATATTAATTAAACACTACATTTATCCATCAATTGTCAGTTGGATGCCAATTAAAATAAGACTACATATCAAGCAGATAGTTGCTCATACCAGAATATTATGTGTTCCAGATTTAACACTATGTCCCAGATTTAATGTTTAGTCCCAGATTTAAAGTTATGTCCCAGATTTAACATTTTGTCCCAGATTAAACTGTCACTACAATTTCACACTGTCTCAGGTGATGACTTTTTCAGTTTAACAAGGAAGGCAAAGCTATGACTAGACAAGGATGATTTGTAATTATAACAGTATTCATGGTATAATATGATTATTTCTGTTTCAATCTGAGAGAAATCTTTATTTCAACATGCTGCAATTATCTCAATACACAAATGAAGAACTCATCAAATACCCTCTCCATTTGCTTCTACCATGCATGATGTTTCTATTAGGGCTAATTGCAGTCTCTTTAAGTCAACTGTAAATTTTCTCCTTATCAATTTCTTGCATGACATGTCAATTTGCAGCCAATTTACAACCTTTGGGATATTCAGGCAGAAAGATAATGTGTGCCAGTCAACCGAAAAACATGCAAATCTACATAAGCTGTGCAATATTACTGTTAATTCCATTGCATTTCCATTTTCAGTTCATTACTCTACCCAGAAATGTTATCTTAAAACCCATCCTATTATACCATTAATGAATTTCAACCTTACTGTAAAAGCCTCATATTTTGGAAGGCCTCCACTGCAATTATCAATCTGACTTTAATTAAACAAGTTGATAATAAGAATGTTACTAGGCGCTTGCTTGTTTTATATTCAATATGAAAGAGAACGGGTCAAACAAGATTGTGTTATTATAATATGACTGGGTGGGGTATCATGTAAATTTGTTTATAATTTCGTTGACGCAGAACTATAAAAATTTAGAAAACAGCTCACCGCCAAGTGAGATACTATTAACTACAGAATTTTATGATCTTTGTTGGAGTTACTAAAATCATACTAAAACAAGCTTCAATGATAGTAAAATATTAACAAAAATTATTATTTAGCTTTATTTAATTAGGTGTTATCATGAATCAGGGCATTTTGCAACATAATTATGATTAAAACCTTTAAATTTTCCCTATTTAATAGCTCATTTTTAAACAGTTCAGAATAAGACTAAATAATATTCACAATTCAAAAGGTCTCCCATTCACAATTGACTGGAAAAAACACTGTTCATTAATTTATGGAAAACTGGTATAAAACTTCATGACAAAGATTTCTTAGTGACATAACCCTACTGCAATATTCAGACAATCTTCTTCCATCTCCAGACTCCAACAGTTAATGTAAGATATAGGAAAAAATCATGCCAATAAATCAAACGAAAATGTTCAACCAAGGGAACAATGAAATAGCTATGATCATAAAATTTGTCAATAATCAGTTCTTTAAAGACTTTATCAAGATCTGTATCTATCTAGCATGTAGGCAAGTTTGGCAGATATCTTTTTGAACATTTAATTGTCTTACTAAACCATAATCTGTTCTAACCCAAACAGTTTGTTTTGTTTGGTTTTACGGTACACCGACACAATTTAGGTACTAGTAGATCATATGGGGCCAAAACAGGAAAAGTGATTTTGGTTAACCTCCAGCTTTACAAACTAAAACTAACACCAGGGGTCAAAACCACCTCACCTGCTGGAGCTAAGAGATGCATAGACTCAAGACTTATGATCAAACAGGGATAAATGTTGGGAGCAATTCTGATGCCTCAACCCTTAAAGGCAACCCCTTAGCCACAAGGGGGAAAAACTGTTATTGTAACCTTTGCCACAAGTATAGAGTCAAGCTAACTTGTATTTCCATGCCACAAGTCAGATCAAAACTTTAAACTTTTGATTTCAAACTTGATTTTCTTAGATTCATAATGGACAGATAATACAAATTGGATGATCAAATTGTACAGATGTGCAGGTGGGCCTTGCTCTATACCTAAGTCCTCAAAATGTTTATAGAGGTCACCACACACTTCACTCTAGCAAGTTTGAACAAATTTGTCAATAAAAAAATAAACAGAAATTTTTAACCCTTGGCTTCACCTGCTGGCAGCAACTGATTCTACCCATGCAACCAGTGCAGACCAAGATCAGCTGGTGTATGAGTGTTGTCTGATCATGGCCTGCAATGATTGCTTATTCAGTCAGAACAGTTTTTGAAAATTTCTCTAAAAATTATAAATGTTTTATTCAAGAATTAGAGATGGACTTGTCCATTTAATATAGTTAGCAGGCTAAGGGTTAAATAGCAATTTAATGGGTATGGCAAAAATACCAATTTAATGGGAATGGCAAAAATACCAATTTAATGGGTATAGCAAAAATACCAATTTAATGGGTATGGCAAAAATACCAATTTAATGGGTATAGCAAAAATACCAGTTTAATGGGTATGGCAAAAATACCAATGACAAAAATACCAATTTTAGTAAAGGGTTTTGCAAAAATACCAATGAAAGGGTTTGGCAAAGTAACAGTTTAAAGGGTATGGCAAAAAGACCAAATTAATGGATATGGCAAAAATACCAATTTAATGGATATGGTAAAAATACCAATATCAATTTAATGTATTCCTTATATAGTCAATTTTAAACTTTTAATTAAATTAATAAGTAAATGTACATAATAAAACTGTTAAAGTGATTGTAAACATGTATCTTATTTCATTTTTATATATCACAATGTCACAGATTTTTTTACACTTTCGAGTTTTTTGAAAGACAAACATGTTTAATAAATGTCAATAGTAGAATCAATATGGAATATAAAACTGGTGTCACATTTTTTATGAAGTACCTAGAGGGATTCAACAATCGGTAAATCATTAACAATCTATTCAATATCATTCTGTCTAAACCTTTAGAAAATGTAGCTAATATGTGAACACTGAAAAATCAAATTTGACATGACAGATTTTTTTTTTTCCCCTTAAACAGGCTCCATTACTTTGAAATTATCTCATAAATATGTTCAACATTGCAGCCAAAGAAAATCAACAACTGCAAATAATATAATACAGTGGCTAAAGAAACTGAAAAACTCGATACAGATTTCTCATTCTGTTTGCATATGTTATAGGGGACCGTTTAACGTTTACTTTAAGAGACAGAAAAAAACACAATTTATAACGGGGAAATGATCGTCTATCTAACAGATCGACTCTCTGATACTGGTATATGAATCAACACGTCTTAAGAAAACTTTGCCACAATAAAACATTATTACACAAACTCTCTTCCATAATGATTATAAGGAAGCGTGAAATATATTAATGACTATCAGAAGGACTCCATTATACTAGCTGATCAACAAATTATTGGTCAATATTTTTATACACAGCTATTGGACAAAAGAAACTTCCTATAATTAAAATTACATTTGATGCTTGTGACTAAATGGATATATGATATGACAGAGAGAAAAAATTGCTGGAAGATAAGATTCTTGTCTTAAAAAAATGCCTTTTTCATGCTGTGCTCTATGTAGTTATATTAATATATAGTTTAATATATAGTTAAAAACAGGATATATTGTTTTTAAAACAATGTCATAACTGCAGAAAATTTAAAATTTGTGGAAATTAAAAGTAGTAAGTATTTTTATTTTATATCAAAAAATTTATAATCTATACCTAGCTGACTTAAAATCACAAAAACATGTATGTACATTATTAATTATCTACTTATCAATGTAAATACTATAATTATTATTTTTGTTTCCTTTTCTTGAAATAAATGGGCCTTAAATGTGGTACCTAAAAATAAAGTATCTTTATTAAATTTCTAATGTAAAATTTAATGTTGTTACAGAGAGTAATTAATAATACATTAAGATAGCAATGAAAATTTGAAAAATATACATAACTATGTTTCATTATTTATATATAATTTTGTCAAATGCCATCTGCGATTGTACATCTAGTCTTCTACAAATTATCTTTTATCACATTGCCATATTCAAATCAATTTTATTATTCACAGACACATTTTAAGAACATCATTAAACAATTATGTGTTTCTATCTAAATGATATTTCATTTCTTTTTTCAATAGATGCTTATTTCAAGATTTTTTGCATGGTAAAAAAATGCTTTTCTTTCCTTTTAGATACAGCTATCTAATTTAACAGTCAAATATATGTTTCTTTTTCTTTTAGTTTATTTGTTTTATATTCATTCATTTTTTTTAGGTTGTTTGTTTTATATTTATTCATTTTTTTGTTATTTGTTTAATTTTTTTTTTTTTCATATTCAAAATATTTTTGTGGGTCAGTGAAGAAGTCCAAGGGTTGGAAAAAATTATATTTGTAATACCCACAAAAGTACTGTAAGCCACTTAAAACACCATTTTATAGAAAAAATTCTGAAAAATTACATCCTTTCTTTTATCTCTGCTTTTGGAAATCAAGCATCAAAATGAGGTCACAAAAGTTAAACAGTTTCTCTCTTAACTATCAGAGATGTATTATTAAATGTCAACTGTTATGAAGAAAAACATTGTATTTACCTCAACTCATTATTTTATATAAGGATACAATGTCAGATAGTTATTTAACCCAAAGAGATGAAATAAGAGACAATCAGTCCTAAGGTCAATGTGATGGTAATTTCTTTCTCTCTATATCTTTAAATTTGATCCATTCATTCTATTTGTAATAACATTTCACACAAAAATGTACAGAAAGAAATGGAAAAAATATCTTCCTTAGATATCTATTTTGAAGAAATTAAAAATAAAAATATTTTATTGACTTAAGGTTTTGACTACCTGCAAGCAATTTGAAAATTAAAATTTAACTGCATGTCATTGATTTCAAGTCGAATTAATTATAATAATTCAAAACTGATGAAGCTGAGGAGACTGAAACTAAGCCGGTTCATATTCAGTTCTGTAACCATTTCTACTGATGAAAGTTTGAGCCACACACACAATTTGGTAACAACTGGAAACTCAGTATCATTGGTTGACATTATGTATGTTTTTAAAGCTATGGCTATAAAACGCTCTTGCAAAATAACTGTCTAAGATTATGTCTTCAAAATTTCCAGAAATGGCATCAAAATGTCACAATAATTATGGCAGTTGCCTCTTCATTAAATGTGTGTTAAATTGACTGTGCATTGAATTTTTTAATGAATTCAGAATAGGGTATGTTAAATAACAGTGTGCTTCAAGTCACCAAACAGTGGTTGCTATGGACACCATTTATTCTTGTAAAGTATTAAATATCCATTCACCTATGTAATAATGAAAGTGACAAGAAGTTGTTTAAATTGTTTACAACTTTTCATGTGGTTTGATGAAGAAATAAATTCTTGAAAGGAATAATTCCGCAAATTTATCAATCAGACCTTATATAATAGCATTGTTTTTTTTAAATTGTTCATACTTTTAACATTATTTCATGTATACAACAACATTATGTATCTTTTTAGGCTTTTATACTTTATATCAATATAGAACTTTCTTTGTATGTTTCATACTTGTATCAGTATATAAAGTAATTTTTGTACTTTTCTAGTATCAAAAGACCTATGGAAACTTCCCACAGCAGACCCCTGGAATTCTATTATTTTCTATCACGCTACAGCCCATAACAAGTTCTTTGCAAATAAACTTAATACAAAATAAAACAAAAATTAATGCACAAATTACAAACAGAGGATTCCGTTAGTGAAATATAAAATTCAGGCAGACCCCTGGAATTCTATTATTTTCTATCAGGCTACAGCCCATTCTTATAACAAGAATTCAATGTTGTAATCAATAAAAAATGTTTGTTCAATGACGGATCATTACACATTAATCTATCCAATTATTTGCCCTCAAGTTCCACAGCTTGCTGTCTACTCAACAAAAACTTGTCAAGCAATTTGTTCTCTTGTATTGTCACAATCTTTTCTTAATGCCAGTATGACAATATAAATTACAGCTTTCAAACATTAATTTGGGTATGTCATTTACTTAAATTAAATAACTTCTCCTTTTCAACAACAACAAAATACCCTAAAATTACAACACGTACAGTTAAAATTATTTCTTGAGCAAAAAACATGAAAACATACTTTGGTAAAATTGTCTTATTTCATACAACATCAAGACACAGAATATAGCAGTAATTAGAAAAACATATACATAATTAGTCTAAACACTTTCTGTCTTAACCAATCACAAGGCTTCTTTACAACATTGACTGTAAAAATAATTTTCATATTTTTGTACTTTTGTGCCTAAGTATATCATATACAAAGTCTAGTGAGAAGACACTGACCTGGCTTTATTCTGCTTAATTAACCTTACAGCGTCAACACTTAAATCATAATTTTTCAACAGTAGAAATAAAATATATTTAACAAGACTAAAATGCCCTGTAGCAAATTGATTTCTAACATTTTATTCAATTAACAGCTCTGTGATAATTCAGACCTCCCTTAATTAGCCGAGAAACAATATATACACAGAATGCTTATTACAGTAACAGTCCCTGTAATGATAAATTAATTCAATTCTCTTTCTTTTAAAACTTCACAAAATAATTAGACTGTAATTTACTAGAACTACTATGTTTCCTAAGAAAACATAGGTATAAATAAGTTGTAGTTGTAAGTAACAGTTCTGTGAGTGTCACACTTGAGCAAATTTTCCACAGTCCCCTATATATTCTCCCCAACTCTGCTAAATTGTGTAAAATACTTACTGCTGCCTTTGAATTTGACACAAATGTTTGTTAATATTAAAAAGGTTTTAGTGTCAAATGCTGAGCTGAGCTAACAGTATAGAGCCTAGTCAGACAGCAAAGATCTGCAGGTTGGCCTGGCTCTATATTGGTAGCATAGATTAATCAATATCAGTAACAGAATTGTCAGCCCCCCAAAAAATGATGTCAAAAACAAGTTGACAATTATTGCAGGCAAAAAGTTTTAAGTCTTTCAATTCATGCCTAGGCATGTCTGGAACTGATGATATCATATTAAGTAATATTATGGAAATCATTATATATGTCTAACAGGAGAGAAAGAAACAGAATCATTCAGTTCAGAAATAAATTCACATGTGAATTAATACGAAAAATTGGGATGAAACACTATAAAGGTATATTGTACACAAACTTCTTAGAAAACTAGAAATACAACCACGAATATCCCTACATTCAAATGTTTTGTCAGTCTTCAGATTAACAGTCAGATGAATGGACAAGGGCAAATCTGCCCCTATGACGGCATAAAAATAGCCTTGATTGCATGCTACATGTAACTGATTATGTGCCCATGTCAGTAATAAAGAATCACTGACATCGGACCTGATTGTACAAATCTTAAGTATATAAATAATGAAATCCCTGAAAGTTCTATGACAAGTTCATTACACTAAAACTACAAAATAAGCTAGGTTAGAATTAATGTAACTTCATTAATTGTTGAGAAATATATTTAGACTGAAAGAGACTAGGACCCTAGAAATACCATTCTGTTGCTCAACTGAAATACAGTAAAACCCTCAATTAAGACCACCATTGGGACTGGACCAAAGTGGTCTTAATTGTGGGGTGGTCTAAATTGTGGATATTATTATAATTGCTTACATACTTTATGACCATGGTCTTTTTTAGTCTTTTTGTATAAGCAATAAAACAATATGAAAATTAACCTACAAATACAATGTTTTAATATTTAATCAGATGAGAGCAAAACATTTTTATGAAGAAATTTATTATTAACTTCTCTTTGGTCTGATTTCCATATTAATCATTATATAATGTACATCACCTATCATTTTTCACAAAACAAATGTGCTGAAAGGAACATTAAACCACGGTAACTCTAAAATTTACTTTCACACCTTATTTCATACATTAACCTTATAATAACAGTTTTGACACCTTGTAAAATCAAGTGTTATGCCTAACAGCATTCAAGCAGATAATTACAACAAATCTGTAATCTTGGTAGATGTTGACTTTAGAATAAGTGGTCTCAATAGTGAGTTCAAATAAAGAATAAATCAAAGAATTGGGACTGAATCTGGTGGTCTTAAAAGTGGATAACCGGGGTGGTCTTAATTCTGGAGCATGTTAGTTAGACATAAAGAACAGATAATTCTGTTCTTTTTAAAATGGGTCTTAATAGCAGGGTCGTCTTAAATCTGAGTTGGTCTTACAAAGGGATTCTACTGTTCTGTGAAATCATTCATATTTGAGGGCATAAGATTTTGTTGTTTTTTAACAAAAAATAAATCTGTCGGGTCATATATACATGGAATATAGTAGCCAGGTATAAAAATAAGGGGTCGTAAATATGTGGATTTCAACTTTCGTAAATAAAAAAGAATAAATAATAGTCAGCATTTGTGCAACTTAATTGTTGACAGGTGCAGGAAAACTGTCCAAACGACCAAATATGGTAAACCTACTGTGCCACTATGATAATGTGAGAGTGACGTTGCATTTTTTGTGTACTCAAAAGTTTAGAGACAAAGATTTACAATCTTTGTCTGAATAGGTAAAACAGCTTTTTAAGAAGTGAATATATTACAAGATAAGAAGTAGAATTTGAAACGTCTTGATGGCAAAGTTGGTAAAGTCGTTTGGATGCGATATGGCATAAATTTTATCACAAATTCGAGCCTCACAAGTTGTCTAACATTTTCTTTTTCTTTACCTATTTTTTTTCAATTTTACCATAAATACCATATGATAACTGTTTTACACCGTAATAGTGGACTTTACCGCTGCATCACTAAATAATTATCCTAAACGTACAGTAGTATGGTAATTAACTGGCTATACATCCTCTCTATTCGCAAGTGTCAATTATATCATCATAATCTATTGCACAACTGTTTCATTGTTAAAATAAAAGGATGTACACAACTGCAAACCACATCACATGACTTTTATGGTTAATCATACTTTATATCATCTTGGGCACAATTTGTTCGTTGGGACTTAATTTCGTGGTTGATCTGATCCACAAAACTCACAAATATTACTTCCCCACAAACAATGATTTCACAGTAAGCTAAATCTCAGGCCACTTCCACATTTTCTAACCTATCCCATTAGTGATCACTTGATATTGTGACTTAACAGTATTACCCAGATTATAAACAAAATATTTTGTAAAATGTGTGAACATCCAAGTTATATTACATCAAAAAACAGTATTTTCTCACACTTAAAGCAATTTATTTGTGTTTAGAAACTGACAATTGTTCAAATCTTGAACAGAAAAAGAAAATGAAATCTGACAATCTCCGTAACAAAATTTTATATGAGAGGAACAAGGGTGTATAAGAGCATCCAATGTCTGTATAATAAAGACATTAATCCAAGCATGTAACATTATTATAATACTCAATGGAATGCCTTTATTTTCTAACACAAATTAGCAAAAATTAATATAATATAAAACAAAATAATATTGAAACTTGTTGATATTGCTTGTAAGTTGTTTAACCTTTATTGTGCTTGTTTTTTTACATCAGTTTTGCCCTGTTTTGAATCTGAATATGTCTGTTGTAAAAAGGTAAAAGAGAGCACCTTAAAGTAAAAATTCTGATAAGACTTGCACTGTTATGGCTGTGACCTGGCTCTATACTGTTGTCATTCAAATGCTTATTACCTTGTTTTATGTAACTATGGCTTCTTTATTAAATAATGTAAATATTTTACCCAGCAACCCAACTTTTTCATAAATATATCTGGAAACCAAAACAGGATAGAAATGAAAAATTTTTCATTTACAACATCCAACACCAGTGCAGGTTGAGTAATTTAATAATCTACCAGTTTTGGTTCTAACGAACCTTCATCAGGATCTGCAAACCATAAAATACATATTGCTCTGTTACACAAGTCCAAAAAAAAATTCTGTTCTTAACTAACCACACAATGTCATCTTCTGTATTCTATAGCTCATTATATTTCATGCCATTTTTTTCACCTTATATCAATTGTTTATTGTGGCTAAAAGCATTGCTATGGTAATGTGAATGTAAAAATTTTTTATGCTTAATAATCATTGCTAAATAAATGTTGTTCTTGTTTAAATAAGCCCATAATTTAAAACCAATAATTTTCTTTGACAGTCCACGAAACTTAAAACTGAAAATCTTGAAGCAGTGGCAATAAAAAATTTTAATCATTGCTAAATAAATGTTGTTCTTGTTTAAATAAGCCCATAATTTAAATCCCAATATTTTTCTTTGACAGTCCACAAAACTTTAACTGAAAATCTTGAAGCAGTGACAATAAAAAGACATCAGTACATCACAAGAATAAGTCAACTGTTAATTATCTTCCACTTCATGCACCAGCAGTCAATTTGCAGTCAATTTACAATCAATTAGTTGTCTATTGAGAAGAAAGTTTCAAGTGAGGATCTGTATTTCGTTTCTGTTGTCTAAAACTGTTCAAACATGCAAACATGTTCACTCTATAAATAGATATATTTTCACTTAACTTCAATTAACTTCAATGCATTCTGTAAGTTTAAACCTAATGTTAAATAAGACAGATTTCAAGAGGGGACACAGTATCTATACCGCAACAATGTTTACTCTCAAACTCTGACATATCTTAAGCAATTTCTGAGACAATATTCTTCATCCACAGTATAGTGTCCAATTTTTATTGCTCTGTGGAAAGATATTCTGAGAATAAATCAAATAAAAGAATGTTAAACTAACAGGAAGCTGACAAGACAATAGTTGTAAATTTGTCAGGAATCAAATCTTCATCATCTTGAATAACACTGACTATACCAGACAGTTTGTCAGTTACATCATAACCAGGGTCAATCACAAAAACTTAATGTTTGTCCACTTGTAATTGTATCATGGACTAGACTTACTATGATTTAGGAATTGTCTATATTTTACTTACAAAATTTTCAACATCAAAATGCTAAAATTACAAAGCCAATGGTAACTAAGGATTTGGACAAACAGACATGGTAACTAGTCAGTCTTGCACTATACTGGTAGCTTATAATGTCATAATCTCCACTAACATCATAAGCTAATAATAACTGATCTACAGCCTTCAGATTTGATTGGTTGATAATATGGTTAATAGGTTGCTATGACAGTTGGATAAGCTATTTTTGGTCAAGGTCACTGTAGCAACATTGTAGAATTGACCTTTGACATACCGACCTAAAACTTAATAGAAGTAATCAACAGGTCATAACAAACCTCTCAATGCAATACGAGAACTGTGGGCCAAAGCATACTCTAGAATAACAAAGACAAGTCTAGTCTACAGACATATTGATTGACCAATGGTCTGGCCATCAGGTGCAGAGTAACATACCTAATTTTCTTCCAAGACATGCAATAATATGTTATAATGGTATTTGACAAAGAAATTTAAACTGCAAGGCTGCTTTAAATCAATCACAATGCTTCAACAAAAACAAATTTTTTAAATAACCACAACCAAATCTTCAACAACTTTAATAAACACACAAATCTTGTTCATTAAACATAACATCCGATCATCATAATGATGAAAGTTGTTGAACTGGCGCCAGTCAATGTTGACATACTGGTACCATTCTTTACTCATGCATTGCTGTAAATCAATCTTAATTCCTTCTGCTAATATTTGTTAAGGATGAAATGATACATCACAATTTCCCCCTGGTTTAACCTTTGACAGTATTAAGCTGCCTAAAAAGAGCACAATTTGTGATTAACGCCAAAATGAAATCTTCCCTGAATATCATAGAAAAGTAATTATTTCTTTAACGTCAATCAGACCAGATAAGGCATACGTGCTATCCTGAAAGAACTTTCTGACATCTTTGTTATTGGTTTTGTAATATCATTATATATGTAATATATACATGTATATTTTCATATTACTAAATCTACACAATGAGGAATACTTTTGACCTTAGCAAATAAAACATTGCCATTATCTGTTAAAGTAAAATAGCTAAATCATATTTCTCTGTTAAAAGCTCTTTGTAAGCCCCAAAAATATTTTTACTTTCATTACTGAAAAACATTTTTGTTCTTTAGTTTTAGGTTTTAGTGTCATGTTAAATTTCTAAAAAAGTACTTAATGGGAATAAAGCTAAACCATCTTGTGTTTCTTTTGGTTTCTGGCCATGGGTTCAGTTGGGGAAATTAAATATTTTGTGTATAAGTTGAAATACCACTTTGTTTACATTTTTGTTACTTTTGTGACAAATAATTTCTCATACTGCAAAACTTTCCTCAAGAGATAAACAATTTATGTGCTTTAAATCCATGATAAAATAATTATCAAACACACATTTGCTCCTTCTGAAGGATAATAATATTAATTTCTGAGACATAATTTGCCTTAAATCGGCATCATTGTTTTAATTCAATCGTCATTATTGTTTTAATTGACTCAGCATCATTGTTTCAATTGAATTGGCATCATTGCTTCAATTGAATTGGCATCATTGCTTCAATTGAATTGGCATCATTGTTTTAATTGACTCAGCATCATTGTTTTAATTGAATCAGCATCATTGCTTTAATTGAATCAGCATCATTGCTTCAATTGAATTGGCATCATTGCTTTAATTGAATCGGCATTTGTTTTAATTGACTCAGCATCATTGCTTTAATTGAATCAGCATCATTGCTTCAATTGAATTGGCATCATTGTTTTAATTGACTCAGCATCATTGTTTTAATTGAATCAGCATCATTGCTTTAATTGAATCAGCATTATTGTTTAAATTAAATCCAAGGCAACATCAATTATACATCTTCCTTGGAACTGCATTATCATAGGAATGCATCTTGACGAAAAGTTTAAACAAAATTATCGCCAGATTGTATAATAAATGACACCATGAACTTGATCCATAATGATAAAACAACAATCCTATTGTTATTCTCTATTGTTGTTGATTGGATCTAATTGGCAGAAAATTTTCTGGAATGTTTTCTTTCAATTTTACAGATGAGCAGATCCGTTTATGATAGAAATTTTCTAGAGAACTTTGCAATTGATTCATTTGTTGAGATGATATTATCATGGCAAGAAACAAGAATATCAATAAAACAAAAGGCAATGTTTTTTCATATCATATCTAAAGATAAAGACTCAGATAAATTTGTGTTAATAACACTTCTTTAAATGCACCCATCCAACTGATAATGCCATATTTCAAGGCAGATGAATGACAAATTGAAACCTTGTGGTTATTGCAATGTAAAAGATGGCCATGTTTCAAGGCAGATGAATGACAAATTGACACTTTTAGTTATTGCTACCTGAAGAATGGCAATTTTTTCTAGGCAGATGCATGACAAATTGAAACTGGTAGTATTTGCTTGTTAGTCTTTTCAATAACGTTTCATGCTAGATGTTTTTATAACATAAATTGTTTTTAATGTTATGTCCACTCTCTATTCAAGTATCGCTATAGACATATTAACTAACCTTTTTGAACTGCCAGTTGTAGAATTTCTTGATGTTTTCTAGCCATGTTAATGTCAAGTAGAAATCTTTGTAGAACATGTAACCTACAATATTAAATTAATGCATTACCAGTGTACTGTCCATATCAATATATATTGACCTTTAATGATTACTTAATACAAAATTCATTACCCTGATGTTTTTTTCTATGTTTTTTTATGCTGTCTTCAACAAATTTTTGGTCACATCTTGCCAGACAGTCCACCTTATTGGCTCCAAAGTATAATTAACAAGTGCATTGTAATAACCAATTTCTTTTCAAGGGACTGACTTCTAATTCCTCATAAACCTCTGATCAACCAGGTCAGGTTTTGACTGCTTTGTACTGTATCAGTGCAAACACTTTATCTAATTGATGTTATAGCCATAATGACAAAATAAGTCAAATGACTTGCTAAAAAGGTTGTCCTTGAATCTAAATGTCAGAAAATTGTAAAAAGCTTATCAAAACATACTTTCACAGTTAACCTTGAGAAATTTACTGTCTTACTTTTTAAGAAAAAATAATAACAAAATTGGTCTACATCTAGAATAATTATCATAGCAACCTGTTAAAGAATGTCTCAAGGCAATTTTTCACATCTAACATGTCACTGCCAGTATAGTTGTGCACGAATCTCTGATATAATTGAATATTCCACCGCTGATCCAACGTACACTCTAGAAACATAATATAAACTCATTTACAATATAAAACTAATATGTTAAACCAACTTTAAACAGTACTTTAAAAAATATTGCCATCCCTTTTAAAATATTGCCTTAATTTTGTGCATTTCTACCAAAGAGTTTCTTTATTAGATTTATCTATGTAGAAAATAATTAAATAAAATCAAATGAAATTTAAGGGAAAAACAAGAAGTTCCTTTTAAACCTAAGGCTACATTTCTTTGTTCACTCTCTCAAATAAATTTCATTACTTAAAAGTGCCCTAAAGTTAACAAGAGGGCCATGATGGCCCTGAGGTCGCTCACCTGTATATAGGCCCCCCCCCCCCCCCCCCCCCACGCCAACGTTGCAGGGCCAATTTAATCGAAGGGCTTTTATTTGCACAAACTTGGTAGACACCCATAAGAAGATGTTTCATGCTAAACATCTAAGCTCTAGCTCATTGGGCTTTTTAAAAGAAGATTTTTTTAAGTTTTTACTATACACATATAGTTAAAAACAATGACACCCCTGGGGCAGGGCCAGTTTTGACCCCAGGGCTTTTATTTGAACAAGCTTTGTAGACACTTACTAGAAGATGTTTCATGCTTAATATCAAAACTCTAGCTATTTGGGTTTTTTCAAAGAAGATTTTAAGTTTTTGCTATACACATATAAAGAAAATCAATGGCCCACGGGGCTGGGCCAATTGATCCCAGGTCTTTTATTTGAACAAACTTTGTAGACACTCACTAAAAGATGTTTCATGCTTAATATCTTTACTCTAGCTATTTGGGTTTTTTCAAAGAAGATTTTTTAAATTTTTGCTATACACATATAAGGAAAATCAATGACCCCAGGGGCGGTGCCAATTTTGACCCCAGGGCTTTTATTTGAACAAACTTTGTAGATATTTACTTAAAGATGTTTCATGCTTACACCTATTAGAACATGTTTGATGCTAAATATCTTAGCCATAGCTCTTTGAGTTCTTTAACAGAAGATTTTTTAAGTTTTTACTATATGCATATAGGGAAAATCAATGACCCCCCGGAGCGGGGCCAATTTTGACCCCAGGGCTTTTATTTGAACAAACTTGGTAGACACCCATTAGAACATGTTTCATGCTAAATATCTTAGCTATAGCTCTTTGGGTTCTTTAAAAAAAGATTTTTTATGTTTTTACTATATGCATATAGGGAAAAATCAATGACCCCCCGGGGCGGGGCCAATTTTGACCCAAGGGCTTTTATTTGAACAAACTTGGTAGACACTTATTAGAACATGTTTCATGCTAAATATCTTAGCTCTAACTCTTTTGGTTCTTTAAAAGAAGATTTTTTTAATTTTTACTATATGCATAAAGGGAAAATCAATGACCCCCTGGGGCGGGGCCAATTTTAACCCCAGGGCTTTTATTTGAACAAACTTGGTAGACACCTATTAGAACATGTTTGATGCTCAATATCTTAGACATAGCTCTTTGAGTTCTTTAAAAGAAGATTTTTTAAGTTTTTACTATATGCATATAGGGAAAATCAATGACCCCCTTGGGCGGGGCCAATTTTGACCCCAGGGCTTTTATTTGAACAAACTTGGTAGACACCCATTAGAACATGTTTCATGATAAATATCTTAGCTCTAGCTCTTTGGGTTCTTTAAAAGAAGATTTTTTATGTTTTTACTATATGCATATAGGGAAAATCAATGACCCCCCGGGGCGGGGCCAATTTTGACCCCAGGACTTTTATTTGAACAAACTTGGTAGACACTCACTAGAAGATGTTTCATGCTAAATATCTAAGCTCTAGCTCTTATGGTTTTTTAAAAGAAGATATTTAAAGTTTTTTCTTTAGGTTGCCATGGCAACCAGAGTTCTGCATGGAATTAAATTCTTTGAACAATTTTTAAAGGTGACCACCAAAGGAACATTCCTGTGAAGTTTGGATGAAATTTGCTTAGTGGTTTATGAGGAGATGTCATTTAAAGTAAAAGTTTACGGACGACGGACGGACGACGAACGGACGGACGGCCGGACGGACGCCGGACGAAAAGCGATCACAAAAGCTCACCCTGTCACTTTCAAAGTTTGTGACAGGTGAGCTAAAAATTAAAGCACAATACTCTTAAATACCATTCATGCAATCATTTGTAACCTTCGCCAATGTTTCTTGAAAACGTGAGTTCATCACAGTAGCCATCAACTGACTGCTAATTTCTTGTAGACTGGACACTCCATATTTTAACAAATCTTCAGACTGGTTGATGGTTTTACAGAATTTCTGTAACCAGTCAACAGTTAATTGAAGAGTATTTTTTGTTGATAATTGAAGTACCAGATTAAGGGCATGCTTTAGCATCTGTTTATCCTCCACATCTCTACTGTAACAAACAGAAATACATCTTCATTATATCAAAATATAATTAAATATATAATCATAATATAACTATATAATAAAACTATAAAGGAAAAATATTTTACACAAAGACATGATAGTGTTATTGAAAAAAATGTTAAGTAGAGAAAATTATAAGTTCATTAACACAGACTATCTTCACTGAAATACTTTTCAAAAAGAACTACAAATATTATATAGGTGTAAAATGCAACCATGTGGCTGTTTTTTGGTATGTTCTTATTCTTAATTTGTACATCATGTTCGCAAACAACATACAAATTATAAAACATTAAATTACCTTTTTCTGTTTTGCTCCAGCAGATGTATAAACACAGCACTATTTTTCACAACCAAAGCACTGCCACTATCAGTGATGTATTCTGACACACATGGTAACTTAACAGGGTTGATACCTAGTTCTGCTTCTGAACAAACATCATTGACAACATCTTTAAGTACATTACATTCCTGGTCCAAAATCTCTGATGCTTTCTGTAAGTTAATACATAATTGTTACTGAAAAAATGGAAGTTAGTAAATGACAAATGATGGATACTACAAACAATTTCTACGAAAAGCATACAATAATGTATTAGTTATTTTTATGCTATTGAAGAAATGTGAAATTCTTACCAACATACACAATGTATTTATGATTTTATCTTTTTTCGTTGGTTGAAACATAGGATTCAGCAATAAATCTGTATAAATTGTACATGTACCTGCTTTGACTGCATATGTCTCTGTCTCTGAACATAAACACTGTAACATGATGACCTCAGTGACCTCTCAAGGTCATTTCCATGGTTACACTGCTGAACTGTTTGTCTACACACTTGCAGAAGGTTCTGAACACTAGGTTTATCTCCCCTTGGTAACTCTTCAGCAAGGAGGTGATGTAGTTTCATTAACCAATCAAATACAGGCCTTGACTTTAATCCTGAGCTACAAAATATCTGTCGTAAGTCAAAGTCACTGAACAATTTTCCATCATCCTGAAATATAGAATAATATTAACATTTTAACACTTTAATTTAATTTATACCCTGGAAAGGGCTGGACAAAATAAGCAAATTTGCCTTTTGTCAGCTCCCGTACCACCTGGTCAATGTGAAGACTTAGGTATTACTTTGAACCAACATAATCTGGGATATGTCCAAAGCACAGTTATTGGGTTTTAACAGTGATTTTATCATCTGACTAACCACACAGGATGGAGTCATTACCTAGTGCATTATCACCATCTGATGATAATAGATATAATAAATCTTTCTAGAATATTCATGCTCAAATCTTTCTAAATAATGCTTTTATTACCCTTCAAGATTTTTTCCGCCTTTTTGATTGGATATTGATCACCCGAAAGAAATTGATATAACCGAGCCAGACGAGTAATATACACATTAAATTTCCCCGTTGGGTACCCAACGTTGTAAACGACATGCGCTGAGGTGATGTGCGTACGGTTCGATTTTACACAGTGTAAATTCCAATTTACAATCAAGAAGGGTAATAAAATTATTATTTTGGTTTTGGAGTGATATATGTGGATATATTACCTGCCAAGATAAAATATCACCCTCGCCTAATGGCTCGGGTGATATAAAATCTTCGGAGGTAATATATCCACATATATCACTCCAAAACCAAAATAACATATAATATAGATGATTGCTCTTCAGAGATTGTACTGTACTTCAATTTCGGAAATAAGTAAAATTATCATACTTTACTCTCTGAAATATGTAAAATTATCACAAACCTCTCCAGGAACAAAAATTTCCACTCCTCTATTCCGCATTGCACGAGATATTTCACCATGACGGGGATCCATTGACAAAAATAGTCTGAAATTTAAAAATATAGATTACTCATCGACTTGAATGATACTGGTATTCAAGGGTATTCTGTGCCATTTTTTATACTAAAGAATTTCATCATGAAATGTATATACACATGTTTGTCAGTTGAAACCATTCTAAATTTAGAAATTATTCTAAAACAGAGAAAACCCTCATTTTATTTTGAATGCTACATGGAAAAGGAGCATAAATACTTTAAACAGTAGTAGGAAAAACATGTAGATATGAATCATTACCTGAAATTTGGGTGTGGTTGAATTGTTGGTATTTCTCCATCTATAACCCCTCTTTCATTGATAGATAGCACTCCATGAGGCTCCAACAGGGCATTAAGTCTGTCTAACACTGAGGCACTGTAAAAACATGACATCATTTCAAAATTCTGCAAACTGCTACATAGTCAAACAACAACTTTAAACACATTTCTCTAGCATTTATTATATTGTCATGCTAACCTTTACCACCCTAAGAATCTTTTAATCAAAAAACCCTTGTTATTCATTATTTTGCGGGAAAATTTCAAAATAACTACTGACGAATAGGGAGCAGTCTGATCTCTGTCTGCAATAATTGTATGGGTAGAATCAGTTGCTGCCATGAGGCTTAGGATTAAACAAATTTTTACTAAATAGAAATGTTACCTGCAGAAGTTCACATTGTCTATCAACAGCCAATGCCCCTCCCTCAATGATCTGACCAATAAACTATCAATCCATTCAAAAGCTCCTCCCCCTTGTCCAGCAACAGCCAATGACAGCTTATGTTTCAAGTGTTCCAATTTCACCTTTACTTGGCTGACTTTCTCTTTAATTTCTGAAAACACCAAAAGGGATAAAATCATGATTTTCATCATTACGCCACATAATGTAAATTGTCAAATGAATGCCATACAAATTGAGTAACATTGAAAACTTGTTGCATTTTCCTTTGTTTTCCGAATAACTTTATCATAATCATTTATAATTAACTTCACAAATAGACACATTATTTCATGCTTTCTTTAAAAATATATGTAAATTTCAAATACATCATAAGTTGAGTTAATAACTTTGGTAAAGAATTTACATACCTTTTGTAATGCTTAGCTTTTTCCACGACTTCTTACAAAGGACTAAAATATTCAACAATGATGCAACTTGAGATTTCATCAATCCTAACTCTTCAACATTAGATCTTTTGTCACCTGTAACATGTTATACATACATCTGTATTTCATTTGTGTCTTGATACAAAAATATTTTGATACCTACTCTGAAACATATTTGCTATTTGCTTATATTGATGACAAATTAAAAAATATAACTTCAAAAAATTCTTTGAGTGGCTTATGAAATTAGAATTCACTTGTACATGTAGTTATGTTTTCAAAACAAAATATGAACACCTTCATCCTGTTGATACCACACATTTGTAACATCACTTTTCATTGGATAATCATGTTTATATAGTATTACATACACGTCTGCTGTCAATTTATGAACAAATCTCACTTTTTCTCTAAAAAGGAACGAAGGGCTGTTTTACAAGTTCATTATAAATATTCCTGACAGGTTATATAACCATATATAAATGACTGTTTACAATATAACCCTTGCCTAGCAGCTTGGATTAGTTTTAAAAACAACTGTTAACATGTATATAACCTGTGAAAAATCTTTAAACTAATACTATAAATGCTATTTCAAACCAAACATTTGCCATCTTGTGTAATATTACTATTGCAAAATCACATAGCATCAGCTTCCAAAACAGTTAAACATTATCTGAATTACAATTTATTTTTCATCTGCTCAGAAGTTCTTAGTTGTCAAAATTAACAAAATCTTACCTGATGTTTGGGATTTTTGTAGATCTGTCCAAACTTCCTGTAACCTAGCAACCGTATCCAAGCAGCCCTGGTCATCACTAAGTAGACAGTGTTCACATACAGTGTTTAATATAGAGTGTACGTCTGCTGCAAGCTCTTCTAAATGTCTGCTGTCATCAGCCTACAATCATTTCAATTTGTTTTTTTGAAACAAAAATCTTCTTGTGTACTTTTATATTTTTCATCAAAGAACTAACCTCTCACATGACATGTTTTCACAATAGATCAAGATGATCCAAATACCAACTGAAACTTAAATTTTTGCAGCCTTTTTAACCGTTACCATGATAAATATCTTAAATAGACTTGTCCATCTTTCAATGGTCTGCACTGGTCACATGTGTAGAATAAATTGCTGCCACCAGTCTAAGGGTTTATAAATTTTTGTTATTAATATGTTTATTTAAAGAATAAAATGACAAAATAAATCTTTTTTTCAGTTTTTGTTTTAAAAAAATGAAATATTTCTCTTTTCAGACTGGCAATGTCTTTACAGAACTACACAATAAGCAAACAAGACCATTACAACCAACGAGTACCAGCCTATATTTTACTTGGAGTGACCTCCCTTGGTTGCCTAGGAAATGCATTCGCCATAGTTATAATTCTTGTATTCAGAAAGTTCAGAAAATCATCAACAGCTTTCATATGTCATCAGTGTTTCCTGGACCTTGTAAAGGGCCTCTATAATTTTCTCTATGGATTTCATCTAATAAGGGACACCGAGGTTCCAGCATGCCATGCAATCGGGGCCTCATATGTACTGTTTGTTACTGTATCAGCTTACAATTTATTAGCTATAGTTGTAAATGAGGAGTGTGAAATGCAGCGACCATCAAAACATAGAGAGAAGAACCATTTCTGTGTCATATTTGGAATAGCTATTCTTTGGTTCACATGTATTTTAATTCACATGGGCGTCGCCTTTTTACCAAAGGAGCCAGAATTCATCCCTGGTGTGGGCAGCTGCACATTCTCCTACGGAACACCCAGCAATCTTGTTTTACATATTCTTTGGATTATACTAATCTCCATGGCAATATTTCTTACATTAATACATTTTCTCTCCATGTTCTGCAGAGTGAGGTTTAAAGCAAGAAGTTTAAAGTGGGCACTTATTCATAGGTCATTGTTGCGGGATGTGTTTTCGAGTGCAAATGACGACCTTGACCCTAAAACTGTCCAAAAAAGTTGCCATAGCAACAATCTATATACACACCTTTACCTCAGAAGAATTAAAATATTATCAATCATGGTACTCAGCTTTATTGTATTCTGGTACCCACTGTTTTTGCTGACAATAGTGGACTATAAATATAAATCATCTAAACATATCTACCAAGGACTAACAATTCTGTCATGGTGTCACCCAGCAACAACGTCAATATTCACATTCCTTATTCTACATGACATGTCAAGTAAAGACGGCCTCATGAGGAGGATCTATTCAAATGTATATCCCATGATGCAGCAGTATTCAAACCCAACAAATCATCCAATCATATGCAATGACTGGGATGGCACCAATTCTGGTATCTTAAACACACATTTCAATGAAAATTCACCAAGAGGTCAAGGTCAAGATGAAAACTTTGAGAACCAGGAGAATGATTTTTCTATTATGCAAAGCAATCAGGAATGTCAAATGCTGCTACAATGTGATTCTGATGATCATCATTTCATGGACCATGACATTCACACTGCAGCAGAAGATAGGTTAATACATGACCTTGACCTTGCAGCAGAAGACATTTTAGTTGTGAAAAGTGACAATATTCAGGCCCCACTTGTTATAGAACAGTGGGACAGTTCACCTACCAGTCCCGGCAAACAGAGGAAACAGAACTTGTAAAAGACTGTCCAGAGAAATCATTAAAATTGCAGCTATTTTTGTTCATAGCATTATATAGTGTAACATAAAGAATGGTTGGCATGATGAAAGTAATGAATGAATTTCGTGAAAGAAACCTTCCATGATAACCACATATGCTTAATATAACAAAGGAGTGAAATAAATCAACATTTCTGTCATAAGATGAAATTATCAATGGATTGAGTAATCGATTAACCTTTCTTAAATTGTGTTCAAGTACATTAATGCACTTTTCAGCACTTTCACAGTTAAAATTGTACATGTATTGTGCACTGCACATAAAAACAAATTCTTCAAATATGCTGGAAATAAACAAAACTGGAGTAAGTTGACATCAAAAATACTGAATCAGGATATATTGAAATTACAGCACTATATTATTTAAGCAATAAAGAGCACACTGTTGTGAATATTTTTATATTCAAACCTGTACACACCTGTTCAAATCCTCCAAGCAGTTCTGTGGTATCCATGGCACTGTTCATGGCTAGGACATTCAGCTGGTTCCCAGAAAGTTGAGCTAACATTTCTACAACACTAGACTTACCACTGTTAGAGGGACCAACCTGTATAACAAATATATATTCAATATTTTAGGTCATCTTTACTGTTCTGGGAGAAGAACCCTAAATGACCCTCATTGCAATACTAGTATTCCAGTCAAAGGCTGTAACTACTAATATTTTGCATGTATGTTAGACTGCCTCTTCTTGTGACAGAATTTTAGTCTTTGGTGACATTCATACAAACAGATGATAGTGAAATATTCAGAATCAGTATAAAAATCATTATCTTTTCATAAAAAAAATCAGTTCAGATATCTTGTCAGAACAAAAACACCCACCAATGGCACAAAAGATATCATTAATTTCTTGTGGAAAACTTTTAAATTGAACTGGGTAATATTGTTTGTAAGAAAATATAAGCATATACATTTTGTATATTTCTTTAAATCTACATTAAAAGTGTTGACCACAGTCATTTAAAGAAACTCTAGGAGAATGGTTACAATTTTATGGTTCAATTTTTATACATACATGTACATATAGATAATAACATGTCCAGCAAAACCATTTTTTCATTTCAAAACGCCAATGGTACACACAGGTTTTACTGTAATTCCATTTTAAATTTATACAATTTAACATCATCATAGGCACTAAGTTAACTGAAGGATGAAAATACTTTATATTTTATTGTGTTTCTATTCTATCATTATTACCCACCATGGACTAATTTCTGTGAATTTAAAGTCAATGCACTCAAATAAAATTCCTACAATAACAGCAGATTGTGTTTTTCTACATATAAAATTGACAGTGCATGCATCCAAAGTATTGTTTTTTGTCTGGTATAATAAAATTCAATGGACAAGAACATTAAATTTCACATAATTTGTAATAAATATTTTACACACCAGAATAGCCATCCAGTTCATTTCTACACATTTCATGACTGATTCCAGGGGTTGTAGACTATGATGTAATATTTCCATGGAAACACTTCTGTTTCTATGGAGATGACCTTCACCTCTGACCTTGAGAAATGAGTGACCTATTTGTACTAGGTGACCTCCATGGTGAAATATGTTTGTTGGTTTATATGCTTCCAAGTCAGCTGAAAAATTCTTTTCGTATAAGTCATAGACCTGGAAGAAAAAAAGAACTGATTTTACTATGAAACAAAAAAATTAAATGCTTTATCACACACTATATGTACATCATGATCAATGTTAAAGTGATTCTTTTTTCACTGTAAACAGTTCTTATTTTTGACATGTGATAAATAGAATACTTAGTATTATATTTGTGTAGATTCAATACTAAAATTATTGAACTTGTTGAAAGAATTTAGTATTGATCCCACACTCATTCAATATCCTTTATTTACTATAAAAAATCAATTTCATTGTGGATAACAATTAACTCATGACTTTTATTTCTGATTTGATAATTTTATCATCAATGACTGGGCTTGTTCTATACTAAACCAACAATTACATTTTGTGTAGTAAATATATAATGCAAAATAAATTGAATACAAAATTAATTTCCTTTAAATTTTCATCATATTTGTATTATACAACATGATTGTAACATATTAGAGATACATGTGTGAGAAGAAAGAGTTTAAACCTGTAGTTTGTCTGGCACAGTCCTCATTCTATCGGCATACACCAGTGCAACATATTCCCCAGGGTTATAGTTTCCTAAACTCTGAAATTTTATAAACAATCTTCAGCAAAGCCTTACATTTTAAGACATTATACCAAAAATGTTTAAGTGTCAAAAAACATCATAATATGATATCTAGAATGTTTCTCTTTTAGTGGGCATTAAAATAAGCTTTTTAGTGTGTTTCTGAGAATTCATTTAAAGCTATGACCTAAATTTATTTTATTTTTGATATTATAAAGCTATGACTCTGGCATGCTGATTTTATAAAACCAAGTTGAATTCTTATATTTTTAAAGCCTTTGATTTCTTGTACATTGTATTTCAATCTGGACCTTGGCAGTCTAAATGCATGTACATGTAAATTTTGTGTATTCTAAAGAAATCTTGTAAATATTGAACACTATAGAATGATACCTGGTTATCTATGAGTAAGTCACACCATCTGAACAAATCTCTCAGGTTAAACTCCCAGGGGCTCCCTTTTTGTCCCCACTGTCCCTTAACTACTGTCTCTTCATGTATCTGGAACAATATACATTATATAAAGTTAAATTTCATCATTCAAAACTCAGTAGTGTTTCCTTAAACACTAGTTAAGTCTACTTGAGTTGCATGCCACTCATACTGTCTTTGTCAAAATGTTTATCAAATGCCAGTACATAAAACAAGAGGGCCATGATGGCCCTGAGGTCGCTCACCTGTATATAGGCCCCCCAACACCCACCCCACCCCCCCAACATTGCAGGGCCAATTTAACCCAAGGGCTTTTATTTGCACAAACTTGGTAGACACCCATAAGCAGATGTTTCATGCTTAATATCTAAGCTCTAGCTCATTGGGTTTTTAAAAGAAGATTTTTTTTAAGTTTTTACTATACACATATAGTTAAAAACAATGACACCCCTGGGGCCAGGCCAGGGCTTTTATTTGAACAAACTTTGTAGACACTTACTAGAAGATGTTTCATGCTTAATATCTAAACTCTAGCTATTTGGGTTTTTTCAAAGAAGATTTTAAGTTTTTGCTATACACATATAAAGAAAATCAATGACCCCCGGGGCGGGGCCAATTATGACCCCAGGTCTTTTATTTGAACAAACTTTGTAGACACTCACTAAAAGATGTTTCACGCTTAATATCTTAACTCTAGCTATTTGGGTTTTTTCAAAGAAGATTTTTAAGTTTTTGCTATACACTTAAGGGGAAAATCAATGACCCCCGGGGCGGTGCCAATTTTGACCCCAGGGCTTTTATTTGAACAAACTTGGTAGACACCTATTAGAACATGTTTGATGCTCAATATCTTAGCCATAGCTCTTTGAGTTCTTTAAAAGAAGATTTTTTAAGTTTTTACTATATGCATATAGGGAAAATCAATGACCCCCCGGGGCGGGGCCAATTTTGACCCCAGGGCTTTTATTTGAACAAACTTGGTAGACACCCATTAGAACATATTTCATGCTAAATATCTTAGCTCTAGCTCTTTGGGTTCTTTAAAAGAAGATTTTTTAAGTTTTTACTATATGCATATAGGGAAAATCAATGACCCCCCGGGCGGGGCCAATTTTGACCCTAGGGCTTTTATTTGAACAAACTTGGTAGACACTCACTAGAAGATGTTTCATGACAAATATCTAAGCTCTAGCTCTTATGGTTTTTTAAAAGAAGATATTTAAAGTTTTTTCTTTCGGTTGCCATGGCAACCAGAGTTCTGCATGGAATTGAATTCTTTGAACAATTTTTAAAGGTGACCACCAAAGGAACATTCCTGTGAAGTTTGGATGAAATTGGCTTAGTGGTTTATGAGGAGATGTCGTTTAAAGTAAAAGTTTACGGACGGACGACGGACGGACGGACGGACGCCGGACGAAAAGCGATCACAAAAGCTCACCCTGTCACTTTGTGACAGGTGAGCTAAAAAAAAACAAGGAAAAAATGATCAAGTCTAACATAACGCATCTTTCTGTCTTTTGTTAGGAACAGTGTTAAGAATGCATTAAATGACTCAAGGGCCATAACTCTGTGAGTACTGTTAAAATCCACGCCTTTCAGAAACAGTGAATGCTGCAAGAAATTCAGACCAGAGTTATAAACCAATTGTACAGAAAAGCACTAATCTTTACACAAACCCTTCTACATATAACAAGAACGTGTTTGTTAAACACAAATGCCCCCGGTTCCGATTCTTGTCAGTTGCAATATTTCAAAAAATGTTTACCCATTCACTCAGTTATGGACAGAAACATTGCCAAAAAATTGTAAACACAAGTTATATAGCTTGACAGAGTCATGGCATTTTGTAATTGTGAAATATATAAGTTGCCAAGTCATTGCCATGACTTGTGAAGTGATAAATATTCAACTTTATCAAATATATATATAAATGTAAGAAATCTATACTTGGCACCCTTGACCTTGACCCACTGACACCTATAGAATATCATGCAAGTTATCTTCCTACCAAATATGAAATACACCTGTCAATAAATAAAGGCTGTATGGGCAAAAAATGTTAAAATCTATTTTGAGCATTGATGACCTTGATCAAACTGACCCCTAACTCCATCCAAAGGAAGAATACCATGCAAGTTATCTTCTAACCAAATATGAAATAAATCTGTTGTAAGGGCAAAAATGTAAAAATGTAAAAATCTATTTTTTAGCACTTGTGACCTTGACCCAACTGACCCCTAACTCCATCCAAAGTAAGAATAACATGCAAGTTATCTTCCTACCAAATATGAATATATCTGTCAATAAATAAAGGCTGTATGGGCAAAAGTGTAAAAATCTATTTTTAGCACTAGTGACCTTGACACACTGATCCTTAACTCAATCAAAAGGAAGAATACCATGCAAGTTATCTTCCTATCAAATATGAAATACACCTGTCAATAAATAAAGCCTGTATGGGCAAAAGTGTAAAAATCTATTTTTAGCACAAGTGACCTTGACCCACTGATCCCTACCCCAATCAAAAGGATGAATACCATGCAAGTTATCTTCCTACCAAATATGAAATATATCTGTCAATAAATAAAGGCTGTATGAGCAAAAGTGTAAAAATCTATTTTTAGCACAAGTGACATTGACCCACTGATCCCTACCTCAATCAAAAGGATGAATACCATGCAAGTTATCTTCCTACCAAATATGAAATATATCTGTCAATAAATAAAGGCTGTATGAGCAAAAGTAAAAATCTATTTTTAGCACTGGTGACCTTGACCCAACTGACCACTAACTCCATCAAATTTTATGTTCAATTATAAATTACATCTGTCTATAGAATATGGTTAATACACCTGTAAAAATCTATTTTTAACATTGGTGACCTTGACATTGGTGACATTGACCTTGATCCAAATGACCCCTTACTATACCCAAAGAAGGAGGACCTCCCTTGGCATGTTTGTATTAAACATGAAAGACATCAACCAAAAAATAAAGGCTGTATGAGCAAAAATGTTTAAATTTATTTTCTAAACCAGTGACCTTGACCCTAGAGACCACATACTCCACAAAAAATAAGGGGACCATTAAATGTATCCACCTACCAAATATGCAAGATATCATTAAATAAATTAAGCAATTAACAGAAATTTACGATAAATCCAACTTGCCGGAATAGGTTACCCAGACAAGGCCCTATTTTCAAAGCGAAAAAAGGGAAATAACTGGGAAATATGGATGACACAGTTATATAACTTGGCAATATCATGTACTTTGTATTGATAAGTAAGTGTGGAAATTATGAAGCCATTAGTAAAGATAGAACTTAAGATATTTTCAACTTGCCGTTTTAGGTTAACCATTATTCATTTTCTAAGTGCTGAAAAGGGCAATAACTTGGTAAATATGGAAGCCATAGTTATGTAACTTGACCAGATCATGTACTTTGTATTGATTAGTAAGTGTGTAAACTAAGAAGCCATTGGTACAGGTAGAACTTAAGAAAAATCCAACTTGCCGTTCTAGGTTAACCTCGTACGGATAGATGGACGGACGGTTCAATTACTATATGCCCGGGGGCATAAAAAGGACAAATAAAGACATATAAAGCCTGCTCATTATTTATAATGCACACCATCTGAGCTTATCATATCTTCAAGGAGTAAAATTTTTAATATTACACTTAATGGGATTTCTTTTTCCTTTGAGATATTTTCATTATTATTACTACAGTAGATGTTCTGTAGATGGTTTAAATTAGTCATATAATGACAAACAATAATCTCAAGATTCTGAGCCAGTAATAACTTAATAGCTAATAAAGTAACTGCAAAAAAATGTCCTAAGTAAATGATTTCAAACAGAAATCAAAGATATTGAGCAAAAGATGTATTGTGCTCAATGGAATTGTTTGGACACTAGACTCAAACCAGAGATTCCCATGCTGTAATAACAAAGCCCAACAAACTTTCTGATCTCTTTGTGGTATATTGATATTAAATGCATACTTTTAGAAGAAGTTAAAGGGTGACATAATGATCAACATGTGTGCAAAACCTGTAGCAAACAGAGCTATCAAATTATACAAAACAAAATCATTACCTGCATATTAAAGGTGACCATGTTGTTAAGTATATCTAGGGGTATATCAGGATACATTGTAGTTGCTATGAACATCAAGTCCGTCTTCTTTAATGGCTCAACATAAACCTAGTGTGTAAGAAAAACATAAAGTAAAAATGTTTTTATTTAAGTTTCACTGTAACTTAAGACATACAATGTATTTATAACACCCTCAAGTTCAATTCCTGGAACTAACCAGTACTAGTGTAAAATACAGAAATATGGTATAGACCACAGTAGGGCTCAAGCACATGATTCTTAGGTTCCTAAGGCAGACACCTTAACCACTAGGCCACCGCTTCCTTTAAGAAAATCATATGCACAGAAGTAAAGTGCTTAATACTGTTTTGTACAGTATTGTATAAGTGGTTAAAATTAGCAACGCAGAAATATTGGCGAATTTTGCGAGTTGACGAACATCGCTAAAAATTTCCTCTAGCGTAAATTCAACCAGCCTGTCATAAAATTTTACCTTTGCAGCAATGATTTGCTAATATTTCCTCACGCGGAATGTCTGTAATTTAAAATTCACAAACTTTTTGACTCGCGGAAAACACATGACATATGACCTAATAAAAGGGGGAATGACAATTCTCTATAACTTATTTCATTCAGCAACTTTAGAATTCTGAGAGAAATGACTAATCCATATAATAACTTAACATTAAATCTATCAGCTAGTCAAATAATTTTCAATGATTATTAAAGACTCCTAATATTTCAATGATAAATCAAAATATAAATACCTGTGTAAATCTGTTTAAGAAAGATCTAGGCAGACCTTTCCTGCCACCACCTTGGTTTAATGGATTCTGACATGCAAATAGCCTGGTCCTCTCATGTTGTATATGGAATGTTTTACCTAATTCTGGTATATATACCTCCGCTCTATGATCTAAACAAGCATTTAGCCCCTCCAACACTGACTGTGATGCTAAATTCAACTGAAAATATTGTATAAAATTATAGTCACAAGCCACAACTTGATATTTCATATATTTTATTACCCGGTAATCATAATTTTAATGCATATTTGATAAAACATGAGAGTCACAGGGTGGTTCAATTTGATACAAGTTTGCAAAAGTGCATGAAGTAATCATTCTCAAATCATTTTCAAATTATATTTATTGACAAATCAATCAGTACAAGTTTTATTTCTGATGTGTTCATCATATATTTCTCACACAAAAAATTACAACACTAATCACATTTTTTAAAGCCATTTAGTATAATAGAAAAAGATAATACTTTTACCAGATATTCATTTAACCCTAATTGTTTGAATATAAAGCTGTTGGTTTATATATTTTTTTATTTGTTTGTTTTCTTGGCCAATTCCAACACTTCTAAGGTGATTTTTAACAGTTGGCAACCTAACCAGCTTTCCTGGATAACTTAAACCAGAAATTTCAAATTTCGTCACAAACAACCAATAACTAATCCCACATGATTTCTGAATTAGTGGTCAGAGACAAATGACCATAAAACATGGAAATTTTGCCTCTGCCTTGCCCAATGATCAAACAAACAATCTATGGATTACAAAACCGCTGCTCTATCTGTTAAAGTAAGCAAGCAGACCTTTTTTTACCTTAACAAAAAAAACCCAACACTTTTAACATAGAGTAAGAGAGTTACCTCATCTAGAACCACCCAGCTGCCAGATTTGAGGGCCTGTAAAAGAGGGCCATCTCTCCACGCAAACACTCCCCCTTCTGATCCCTCCACTGGTAAATCTGCCCCAAACAAATCTGTCACATCCTGTACAACATTTTAAATAACAGAAAAATTTAAAGATATGTGTACATAAATAATGTAAGTATACATAGATCAAGCCAATAAATTATTTCAGGAAACTTGCATTTTGAATGTTTTTTTCTATTGCATTCTTCACTAAAAAGCATTCTGACAAAAATGTTTCGTAAAAAACTTATTGCAGTATTAGTACATTTTACTTGTATAAGATCCCTTTTGAACATTCAATTTATAATCACAAGATACAATGTAGCTAAAATATATTTAGTTTTAGTGAAATGCTTAATCATAAATGTATTTATAATTCAAAGTATACTTAATGTGAAGAAATGTGGTATTTTTATGCAAGGTACAATATGCTTTATTATCTTAGCATTTAATCATGATAGTACATGAAGATATAATATAATTGTTTATTCTGTTATAACACGAAAGTCTTACAGTTTGTTCAGAAAGGTTAATTCTGACTAGTTCTCGTCCAGCAGCTCTAGCTATAGCCCCTACAAGACTTGTTTTCCCAACACCAGGACTGCCCTCTAAGAGAAGTGGGCGGGGCAATTGTAGGGCCCTCAATACACGCTGAGCATTTAGACATGTACCCGGGGCTTGTAAAGCATACTGGTGCTTTTTCTCACTTCTCTTTTCACCTTAATATTAAAATAAACAAAATTGTTAATGAAAAAGAAATAGTTGGCATAAAAAAAGCAAAGGTAAAATTAAAAATATTTCATTAACTTTTACTTAAAGTGAAAAAAATCTTTTTAATCACTTGGTGAAAATATATAGATATCACACTGACCGCAGCTAAGTCCCGATTCCAAAAATAAAACCAATATTCTGCAGATCACTGATGTTCTTTATAACTGACATTAACAATATAAATCAGTACAATATTAACACATTCATTACTAAAATTTGTGCATTTACTGGCAATGACTACTATGTATCATTCTCTGACACTCATTTTCTTATTATTAACATTGTTGTAATAAGGTGAAACAAATTTCTGATTACCTAATGGAATACTAAATGGCGGTATTCGGAAATCTTGCTCTGTTTCTTGGACAGCATTATGTGTCACATGACTGTTGTCAAGGAGATGAAGGTCACCAAGGTTATACTCCTGATGGGTCAATAAGTTCACTTGTTTTATTAGGAACGAAAGACAAACAGTCCTAAGGTGGGATACAACTGAATCTTTGCCCTGGCTTGTTGTACCTGAAAGAAAGTAAAAACAAGTAATTTGTATTCTTATGTTCACTGTATAACATATGAAAATCAAAGCTGTTTTAATCTTTATATATTTACAATCCTTTGCAAAAAAATCAAGAACAATTTATAAGTAACTTAAAATAATCATGTCATTAATAGTCTACAAGAGATAAATAGTACCGTATAACTGGTTATTTCTGCTGGTGCAAATTTTTGCGTTTTGAGACTGAAAATGGGTATACTATTTTTTGCGAATTTAATTTCTGCGTTTTTCATCAAAAACGTTTATAAAATTTAATTTCTGCATTTTTCTATTAAATTTTTGGGACAGGTTCTTTGAAGAGAGAGTTAAAGTATCAAATTTAAAAAGTTTGTATTTCATATGATAAAAAAATATATCCATATATCACATTTTAAATACAAGTTAAAAACAGAATACCGAAAATGACAATCAACTTAGCATGTATACAGTCTACAAACACAACTTGCTTAACTTATATTAAACTACATGTAAAATCCTTTGTGTTAAATTGACTGCACCGAGAACATGTTATAAACATCTCACAATTCTTTATCGATTTTCACTAGAGCGAGAGGCTACCAGCGGGGTGTATGTATTGATTAATTTAAAGATATACTATGCTCATCCTTGAGTAAAATATTTTATTCAAAAAAAATTATTGAAATCTATAAAATTCTTACGGAACATATCTAAAACGAATAAAAAAGGAATAAACTATGTATTGGAAGTTAGTTCCCTGTTACAGGACAGGTAAAGATGGTCCTTTCTTACAAAAAACTGCCAGTTTTTTAACGACACTACATATTCATATTGTGACCACCTACAGTGTGTAGCGTATTTAACATGACATATCTACTTTGTTGGAAGTCAAAACATGTTTATTTTATATTAACAAACAACTGTGTAGCAATTATCAATATTTTCAATCAAATTTGAGCATAGTATATCTTTAACAGGTAAATTGAGGTGACAAACGGGGTAAATTACATATAAAACTACGAAATATTTGCGAATTTAATTTTTGCGATCCGAAGGGACCAACAAAATATCGCAGAAGTTAGCTATCCGCAGAAATAACCAGTTATATGGTATAATGACCCATCTTCAAACTTGACCTAGAAATCATCAAAACAATTTTCCTGACAAATTTTCAGAATATTTGGATCAAAACTTCAGCCAGTAGAGTGTTAACAAGCTTTTTCTATGTTTAGCTCCTGTGACCTAGTTTTTGACCGCAGATGACCCATCTTCGAACTTGACCTAGAAATCATTAAAACAACCTTCCTGACAAATTTTCAGAATATTTGGATCAAAACTGCAGCCACTAGAGTGTTAACAAGCTTATCCTATTTTTAGCTCCTGTGACCTAGTTTTTGACCGGAGATGACCCATCTTCGAACTTGACCTAGAAATCATCAAAACAACCTTCCTGACAAATTTCCAGAATATTTGGATCAAACCTGCAGCCACTAGAGTGTTAACAAGCTTTTTCTATTTTTAGCTCCTGTGACCTAGTTTTTGACAGGAGATGACTCATCTTCGAACTTGACCTAGAAACTTTATTGCAAATACTTATTGACAATCTTCATTTTTTAATGTCAATTAGGTCTTTTATAATAAGTAACCAAGTACCATTTTGATATTCAATCAAATGTGAAACACTAGTTTTCAAATCAACATTCAAAAACAAAATAAGATCATTCATTACCTGCACCAAGACCATCCAGGAATACGAGGCAAGCTCCATGTATATATGTTACTGCAGGATCCAGTTTATTACAGACTTGATCTTCTGTTTCCATGGCAACATCAGAATCCATTGTTTTAGAACAGGTGTTAATGAAGTGTACCCAGGTGAGTATATCTCTTATACTGACTGTACATCTACAATATAAGGATTTTCTACCAGTAAATCATAAGGTAATTAATATAATGGGATGCAAGAACAGTATCATAAATGTAATCAGCACAAATTAAAATACATGACTTACCGATATTCAATTTACCTTTTCAACTGTTTTTTTTTTCAAATATAATTTAGCTAATAGATATAAAAAGTTTACATGTATAAAGCATATACATACATGTATATAGCAAGTTTTTTCCTTGTAAGATCTGTAAGTTTTTTCCTTGTAAGATGTGTACTATCAACAATATTGTTGTCTTTATTTTTTCAAAAGAAATTGTTGTTTAGTTTTTTTATTGGATTATACATAGCACCATATATAGCGACTTTACACTTTTACAGATGAAGACCTCAGGTGTCCGTTCGTGCATTATTTCAGGCATGAAAGGACAGCTGAATAGAACCAATAGCGTTCTGAAGCAAGATGGATGGCTTCCTCACAGTCCCTCGCAAGATTCAAACCCATAGCTGTGAAGGGCAATTGGTTAGAAGTCAATAACCATAACCACTCCACCACAGACACCCCAGAATATAAATTGCTTTTTTTTTTCAAAACTCTTAAGTATTTTCTTTTTACACTTAGCATTTTTTCTCTGAATATGTTAGGGGCAAGTGGTTTGAAGCTTAGCTTTTTTTACTCGGGATATATGTAAACTCCATTGTACCTTTTCCCAAGCTCATTGTTACTAAACCATTCTACAAAGTCCATCATGGCTCGACCAATACCACTTGTACCATCCTCCTGATTACACAGATGTATCCCAGAATGCAAGTTATGTTCTATGATGTCAACAAGATCTTGTCTCTGATTGGACGGTGGACACCAGATCTCGGTAAATCTGTTACGCAATGCTGGTGATAACTAAATAAAATAAAAGTAAGTACAAGTTAATCCTAAGCCTTATTCATATTACAACCACATTTTGTTTAAATATTATTTATAATGTAAGTCATCATCACATTCTAATGATTCATGGCAGAAGTACTAACTTCATTAACTTCATCCAACTTTTCAAGAAATGAAATATTTCTAGGATGTAAGTGTAAAAGTGTTACCTAACAAAGCTCTATAAACATTGTCTTTTACAGAAAGAAACATGTTTATACAAATAAAAGTACAAGAAATAACTTGGTTTAATATCCAAAGCAAAAATATTATGAATAATTTTCCTTGTCTAACCTCTTTCTTTCCAAAGTCTCCACCAGGATTCATTGTAGCAAACACATGGAACCCTTCCTTAGCAACCACATGCTCCACCTCATTCTGGTTCCCATCTCCGCCTCCTTTTTCAGCCAATAGAATTGTCTGTTCTAATTCAAGAACACTGTTTAACCTTTCAAGGACACTGTCATCAGCCAATGAAATTTCATCTATAAGGAACATGGCTCCTTCCTTCATGGATTGTACCAAAGGGCCATCCACCCATTCAAACAACTTGTCTTTTTTATCTTCCTGTAGAGGGATAACATAGTATGTAAGAGTATATTCTTAAGTATTTAGTTTGACTAAACTCTATACTGTTGGCTGACCAACTTCAAATTTTCATCTTGTCATCCCTAAATTTGATATTAATTAAGTCCAAAAATGGAAGCAGGAAAAGTCTGTTTAAAATATCAGCAGTTTAAGGGTTAATGTTATATTAAATTTTAAGGTTTAGTTAATTTAGTCAATTAGTTTTGGTATCTGAATATCTAAAATGTACTGTATTCATTTAGCTGAATAGGTCAGGGGAAAAACTGTAATGAGTCATACAGAAACAGCATATAAAAGGCTTTGATAATGAAAGTTTTAAAAACTTATTAAATGATCAGCATGATTATTGTTATTATTATACATTTAAGAACATAAAATATATAAAATATAATGGTATGTATGATACATATAAATAGTATTGATAAATCATCAAGTATTAAAATTTAAACTTGACATATTTCATTTGTTTCAGAGGAAACTGAAAAGCTCGAAGGATAAAATTCATATTTTAGTGAGACAGTATTTATTTTCTGTAAGGTAAAACACTACATTATCTATTTTTCAGTTGGATTTTATGTCATGTCAACACTGTATATATAGTGACTATCCAATTTTACTGGATAAAGATGACCTCAGACTACCCTCCATGCATACTTTGAGGCACAAGAAGGCAACTGAGTAGAAGCACTGATGAACCCTAAGCTAGATCGACAATCCTCTTTGTTACAGCATTTACATTTACAACTACAATTGAAAGATAAACAACTACAATTAAAAGATTTACAACATAGTTGAATTTCTATTTACCTCAGAGTGTGCCCTGACTGGTCTAAGACCACCTAGGAAGTCGGCACTTTCTGTATGAAGATGACAGTTAACACTGTGTAATGCTGTCTTATATAGGGCTGCATACATCTGACACATTGTTGTTTTACCACACCTGAAACACAACACATTCATACATGATGGACGTTACAATATTGTATACACGGCCTTACTTTGCTAAATTTCGAATCATGGACTTCCCCTGCTTTAAATTTGGAATTGTACATTATTAACCATAAACCTACAGGAACTAAAATTGACAAGCCTTTACCAAGAGGATAGAGCCTGCCAGCAAACTAATGCTAGCTCAACTTCTGTTTTTCTATATTGAAATGTCCAAATACATTTTTTTTTGTACTTTGAATTGACTTTTCCAAATTCGAATCCATGACATAATTTTAGCAGTTTAAGGGTAAATGTAAGGGATTTTGATATCAAACTGTTAAAATGAAGCATCTAACTGTATATAAGAGGTTGTGCCTCTACACTGATAATATAGACAAATATTCATTGCCACTAGCACTCAAAGAGTTTATGATTTCATTTGATCAAATATTGCATTGCATCCTTCTTAAACAAGAGCTGTCGGTAGGACAGCAACGCTCGACTATTCTAAGTGCTTGATAGTAAAAAAATGCTTGATACAGTTACCTCCTCCTGTTTACAGGTTGGGGTAATGATGGTGAACAAGTGTGCAAAGTTTCAAAGCCATATGTCAATGGACTTTGAAAATATTTGAACTATTACAAAAACTTTAACGTAAATTCTAAGTCGAAAAAGGGGCATAATTCTGTCAAAATGCTTGATAGAGTTACCTCCTCCTGTCTACAGGTTGGGATCAGGATGGTGAACAAGTGTGCAAAGTTTCAAAGCCATATGTCAATGGACTTGGAAAATATTTGAACTATTACAAAAACTTTAACGTAAATTCTAAGTCAAAAAAGGGGCATAATTCTGTCAAAATGCTTGATAGAGTTACCTCCTCCTGTGTACAGGTTGGGGTCATGATGGTGAACAAGTGTGCAAAGTTTCAAAGCCATATGTCAATGGACTTTGAAAATATTTTAACTATTACAAAAACTTTAACGTAAATTCTAAGTCGAAAAAGGGGCATAATTCTGTCAAAATGCTTGATAGAGTTACCTCCTCCTGTCTACAGATTGGGGTCATGATGGTGAACAAGTGTGCAAAGTTTCAAAGCCATATGTCAATGGACTTGGAAAATATTTGAACTATTACAAAAACTTTAACGTAAATTCTAAGTCAAAAAAGGGGCATAATTCTGTCAAAATGCTTGATAGAGTTACCTCCTCCTGTGTACAGGTTGGGGTCATGATGGTGAACAAGTGTGCAAAGTTTCAAAGCCATATGTCAATGGACTTTGAAAATATTTTAACTATTACAAAAACTTTAACGTAAATTCTAAGTCGAAAAAGGGGCATAATTCTGTCAAAATGCTTGATAGAGTTACCTCCTCCTGTCTACAGATTGGGGTCATGATGGTGAACAAGTGTGCAAAGTTTCAAAGCCATATGTCAATGGACTTTGAAAATATTTGAACTATTACAAAAACTTTAACATAAGTGGTTACGCCGACGCCGACGCTCGGGTGACTGCAATAGCTCTACTTATTCTTATCGAATAGTCGAGCTAAAAATTAAAAATTCTAATCTAGTGCTTAAAATTTTTATCATCAATCTGTCACACATTAAATAGTATAACAGGATTAAAACCTTCTAGTGTAAAACAAACATGTTCAAAAATAAAATCATAAAATGAAATTACCCAGTTTCTCCAACTAATAAGATTGGTTCTTTGTATCTGATGGCTTGTCCAATCAGAACAGCTAATCTTCTCATACTGTAGGTCCAAACAACATGATGAAAGCCGTCTGCTGATTGGCCAAGCACATTCTCTAGGCAAGATTTGGAGGTCAAGGACGTTGAAGCATTCAGTGTATACAGAGAGGTAGCTGTAAGTTTACACTTAAAATGTTTCTGGATTACTTCTTGTATCACATTAGCTTCTTCTTGTTTCCTGACCCTTCCTGCTAGTAACATGTAACCTGTGTGCCATAGATAAATATATGTATCAATAGTTTTACTATTAAAAATGTACTCAATTGTTATAGCTTACTAAAGTCACAAATCATTACTTACATAATTCAATCATTTACATATAACCATTTCTGGGCATCACTTACCTTGATCAGCCAAGTGTTTGTCCCAATCATAGAATTTTTTCCCATCCATCTCAGGACACTTGTATCTACCTGCCCATCTAAACAGATCTCTGAGTGTCATAAAACCCATCTTCCCAGCAAACACTCCCGATCCCCTCCTGCGAGTCTGTAACTCCAACATGACTGCCACAAGACGACATGCGTATGATAGAGGAATATCACATCTCTCGTGCAGTATAGTCTCCAACTCTTTACTAGGTATCTGGTCAAAGTGAAGCTCAACAAACCTGTTCCTGAATGCTCTTGACAACATCTGAAAAGAAACAGTTTGATGCTTTTAGAATAGCTTATATATAACTCTAATGGTAACAGTTGAAAATAATGATAAAATACATTTTCTAAAATCAACTTTTTAAGTACATAACTCATTACATATCTATCAATTGAATTCTGGAAAGAGGCAATAGTAAGTTTTTTGGTTTTGTTTTTAGTTGTTTTTTTAATCATGTAAAAAATCCTTTTTGAGTACATAAACATAGGCAATAATTGCAAAATATGACTGTCTACTTCCTGGTTGTCTAAAACTGTAAATGCACATGTGTAGACTGAGAAAATAAAGACAATCTCTACCTGTAGTGAAACTTAAACTCAAGACCTCCAGAGTAAGTAAAACTCCCTACACTAATCTGTTCTCAAAAATGCATTCTGTATGTAGAGTATAAAGTATACACTTACTTTTTGCTGTTTCCAATATGGCTTTAACAAGAATTTTTGTTCAATACAAGTACTAAATAGACAGATAGACTAAACAGCTAGATGGATATCAACTTTAAACAATATCGACAATCATGGTAGCTTACCTTTCTGCCTCCATATTGTCCTGGAGGATTCTGGGTAGCAAACAACATGAATTTAGGGTGAGCTTTGACAGTCTCCTGTGTTTCTGGTATATACAGCTCCCTGTTATCATCCAGCAACTGTCATACATGGAATTAATATAATAATATTCTGAATACATTAACACAATTCCTAACAAAATTGATCCAAGAGACTATCATGTAAAATCAAAGAACACTTTTAACTCCTTAAAACTTTACATTTAAAGAATGCTAATATTCTTACTAACACACTGAATACATTTACAAAGTTCTTAACAAAATTACTTCATGAGAATATAATGCTAAATCAAAGAGCATTTCTAGTTTCTTACAACTTTTCTTAAAAGTAGTCTTACTGTATTTTAGTCTAAATTCACTTCTTAGAAAAATTACATAATTTCTAGTTAATAATTATAATCAAAGGGTATTCTGCAAGAGAAGTACTGCCAATTGCTTCTACTGATGGCTTCTGGCATATATGCTTACATAAATACCTTTTAAATAAATTGTGAATTAATAAAGCAAGTCAGGAGGTGTCTAAATTTATGTCCCTTGGACAATCATTAACTTTTGAGCAAAGCAATATACCCTGTTGAGAGCCTCTAGTACATCTGTTGGTGCCAAGTTTAACTCATCTAGAATAATCCACTGTCCTTTCTTCATGGCCTCCACTAGCACACCTAGAAACATAGTACATAAATATATGAATTTTCTCTATTTATCTCAATAAACTTTATGTTAAAGAATAACTCTTGGCAACTGTTTGAATTTACTGGAAGTAAACCATATTTTATTTGTAAAAAATTACAGATATACATGCAAGAATATATAGAGTGTTCTTGAAAGATATAAATGATATTAAATATTTCAGAGAACAATAAATTGTAAATCAAGGAGTAAAACTTTCATATTTAGATGCAACTACAGTCAAACTGTCTTAAGCAGCCAGCCAATGAATGCAGTGATTTTGGCTGCTTAAGATTCGGGAAGCATTTTAAACCCCAGTTACACTAGAGCTTACAACTACTTGCGACTGCCGGCGACGTGTAAAACCGACGATCATCGGCGTTTGTCTGCAAGCAAGCCCTCTTTGAACAGATAAATTTACTTCTGTGATTTTAGTATGACCAATCATCATTGTCAATCGCACGACAGGTCATCAGCAAGATTGCCTGGGATTAGTTACAACTGCCCGTGACCTGTGATGCGATCACCTACAACTTATCGTACGACCATCACACGATTACAAAAGACTACTCAAGATTATCAGTGACTACTGGAAATTTGTAAAGACTGTCGTAAGATTGTCGCACTTTCGAGCGACCATCGTGCGACAGCCTAAAACCTTATAAGATCACTAGCAACCTGTTTGATCGCAGAGAGGTTTTTGTGCAAGCTCAAAAACTTCTCTATGACTGAAATTGGTCGTGGGACCTAAATAAGATAACCTGCAATTATCGAAGATCACCAATGACCGTTGTAAGACGTTTTAAAGATTGTCCGCGACCAGTGGTCACTGGTGATCGTGAACTGGTCATGACTGGTCGTAAACTCTAATGTGACTGGGGCTTTAGTTGACTGCGACCAGCAGGTGACCGTTGAACAGATGTATAAAACAGAGTGATTTTCATCGGGATCATCACAATATGGCCATTCGGGTCAGGTGACCACCAAAAAGAGGTGACTTTTAGAACAGTTTCAACTGTAATCCTCAAAGACAAAATGCAAGTTCTAAATATGTACCAAAACTTCACAAGAAAATTACTTTGATTCTTAGCTTCCAATTTTAAAGAAGAACAAAATGCTTAAATATGAATAATTCATCTAAACAAACCTTCTTTAAAAACTAATTTTCCATTCTCATCAGCAGCATAGCAACCAACATATTCCTGAAGATCCGTGTGTTCATGATTGTTTACACGTACACATATGTTACCTGTAGACTGTGCCAGCCATTTGATCAGACTGGTTTTACCAACAGAAGTTTCTCCCTGTAGTAACACTGGGTGTTGTCTGAAATAATAATATATGTTTTAATATACAGGGAATCCTATAAACATGATCACAGGTTCCCCTTTCTTGCATTACTTCATGCATGAGGGGGCACCTGAGTAGAACAACATACTGGGTACCTTCAGTAAGTTAGCTGGATAGCTTCCTCACATGAAATAATCTTAAAATTATCAGTGGGATTTAAACCCATAGAGGTGTAGGCCATGTTCAAAGGTAGAGGCATTAACTGCTTAGCCATCGAGGCTCCCTAAGATATAAGGCTCACAATCTATAGACTATAATCTAGAGCTAATCATAAATATGATATGACTGTATTCAAACAGTAAGATAAGTAAATACTAGTAAGCTAAATCTTTGAACATTTTCAACTTACCCTGCTGCCACAACTCTTGCCAGATCTTTCAGATTGGCTCTCACTGACTGTGTCAGTATATAGTCATCTGGTGTGTGAGGTTCAAGGTCACCCACTGAGATCCAGTAACCTTCAAAGTTTAAGCTCCGCCCACCAGGAGGCATAGGGAGTGGCTGTTTAAGGACAGATTTAATGTTGGACTTTCCCAGGATATGTTGACATACCAACTGCTGTACAACAGGATGAGATATTCTGTCCAACTGTGTGAGAAAACTCAAACAAAATCCCTGAAAACAAAACAAACAATGCCCATACAGTTCTAAACATCAAGATGCCTCAAACTTTCACAAAAATGGAAAACCAAAACTTTTGTAATGACTTTTAAGAACAGAAACAACAACCTTTCTTCAAACAAGTACATTTTTTAGTTCTTTTAAAAACAGAAACAACAACCTTTCTTCAAACAAGTACATTTTTAGTATCGTCAAAACAAATAAACAAGAGGGCCATGATGGCCCTGAGGTGGCTCACCTGTATATAGGCCCCTGGAGCCGAGCCAGTTTAAACCCCAGGGCTTTTATTTGAACAAACTTGAAAGACACCCATTAGAAGATGTTTCAAGATGTTAAGTTTTTACGACACACATATAATGAAAAACAATGATCTCCCCCCTGTTTTTCCCCCTCCCGGCAGGGCCAATTTTAACCCAAGGGCTTTTATTTGAACAAACTTGGTAGACACACATAAGAAGATGTTTCATCCTAAACATCTAAGCTCTAGCTCATTGGGTTTTTTAAAAGAAGATTTTTTAAGATTTTACTATACACATGTAGTTAAAAACAATGACACCCCTGGGGCCGGGCCAATTTTGACCACAGGGCTTTTATTTGAACAAACTTTGTAGACACTCACCAGAAGATGTTTCATGCTTAATATCTAAACTCTAGCTATTTGGGTTTTTTCAAAGAAGATTTTTTAAGTTTTTGCTATACACATATAAGGAAAATCAATGACCCCCGGGGCGGGGCCAATTTTGACCCCAGGGCTTTTATTTGAACAAACTTTGTAGACACCCATTAGAACATGTTTCATGCTAAATATCTTAGCTCTAGCTCTTTGAGTTCTTTAAAAGAAGATTTTTTAAGTTTTTACTATATGCATATAGGGAAAATCAATGACCCCCTGGGGCCGGCCAATTTTGACCCCAGGGCTTTTATTTGAACAAACTTGATAGACACTCACTAGAAAATGTTTCATGCCAAATATCTAAGCTCTAGCTCTTAGGGTTTTTTTTTAAAGAAGATATTTAAAGTTTTTTCATATGGTTGCCATGGCAACCAGAGTTCTGCATGGAATTAAATTCTTTGAACAATTTTTAAAGGTGACCACCAAAGGAACATTCCTGTGAAGTTTGGATGAAATTGGCTTAGTGGTTTATGAGGAGATGTCATTTAAAGTAAAAGTTTACGGACGACGGCCTGACGCCGGACGAAAAGCAATCACAAAAGCTCACCCTGTCACTTTGTGACAGGTGAGCTAAAACTAGTCTTGTCAACAACACAATTTATATAATATTGTTATTTTTTTGCAGTTGCAGAACATATCCTCTTCTAAAAGCAGTTTTCTACAAAATAATATCATATTAAACCTGAAGTATTTCAATATCTCATTCCTTTACTTCTTTACAACTTACGCAAATGTTTGATCATATACTACAATTACACATATAAAACCTACCTCATACAATGACCTTGGCACAGAGCCACATGTGTTTCTGGCAGCGTATCTTAATGCCCGGCACAATGTTCTCAAACTGTAGTGGGGAGGATGACCTGTCCCATCTGTGAGTTTCTTACTTGCCTCATTCCGTATGGTGAGGTAAAATTTCACAATACCGTCAATCTATAAATCAAATAAAGGAAATATCTTACAAATCTTTTTATAGTTATTTAACAACTACCTCATTTTATTACTGATGTTTTTATAAATGCTGGGCAGCGTTAAAACTATGAAGATTTTATTGGTAGAGGACGACCTCGCATCAAAATTTGAAATAAAATGTACTGAAAATGTTCAAAAGTCATATATGCTGGCCAATATGGTCTCTTTTCGGTGACGAGGGTAAACAAGCCCAAACACACACACAAAAGTCATATATTTGTATACTTAGCATATAAATGCCTCTGTTAGGAGTCTAAAATGGGGTGATGATATTTTTTTGTTCCACCAGTGACAATCTTTGAAAACAATAGTTTTTTAAGTTCCGCTGACACTTCTATACATGTACATGTAAGTTAATTAAAAACACAATTATGTGAAGTACAATATTCTTATTTGTTATACTTTTATAAAGAATATAATTTACCTGTCCAGCTGTCAGTGAGAGACCTTGAAGATAGTCACACACCAAGATCTTTAAATCTGAAGTATCTTCTAACTCATCAACAAACAACTCTGTAAACCTAAAATATTCATCAATAAAAAAATCTTAAATCATATATGAATACTGTAATTATGCTTAACATTACATTTTGTACTCATGTTTCACCCAAAGACTGGCAATTTAAACTTACTATAATTGTACACGCAATACATGTATAAAGACATTTAATACTTTTCAGTTTCGAAATTGGAAATTTTGACCAGAACTCTTTGCTAACCAGATGTGAATTTTTATAATTCAAATGTATCATCCCTATCTTGAAATTAAGGAGTTCTTAACCTTAACTGACACACAAACATGTAAATTTCAAACTTTATTTTCATAAAAAGAAGAGTTGAATAAAAATTATTAATATTAAAAATGTCATTAAATTTTTAAACATGAGTTTACTGACTTAACATTAGTTTTAATTGAAATTTTGGTCAAGTAAATAATGAGATATACCTATTTCTGATACCCGGAGATAAATCTTTCTTGCCTACATCTGTTGCTGGATTCATACAAGCAAATAGTCGGAACTCTGGGTGACGTATAACTGGTTCAATGTCCCTGAGAGAAAGATCAGGTTTCATTTAATAAATCATCATGAAAATATTCATAATTCAATACAAATTTCAATTTTTAAATGTCAAGACATGTTTGGCTTTAAACATACATTTACTACTTTTACACAAGCTAAGTATTTTTCAATTGGTATCAATGTATAATTTTTTCCCAGAATAATAATATTAAATTAAAATCTGAAAATATTACTAGCAGTAATATTCGATGATCTTAAAACATAAAACTGATGAATTTTCCACTTTATTACAGTCATATTAGTGTAATGTAATGGGTAAATATTGATCAAATACAGCATCCAAAACATTACATGAGGAAGAGGACTGGTGGGTAAATGTATCTGTCCTTGACCTTCTTTAAACATGAAACAAAGCAGATAAAGGCTCCAAACCTTCTGTGACACATTAGGAGGAGTTGCTCATATTAATTTTGGCTTAGGTCTCACAATGTTGGGGGATATACATGTATTTTCTTCTATTTGTTTGTTGTTTTTAAAATAACATTAAAACTGTTTAGGTCATATTGAGTTTGAACAGAGAAAATAAAGGAGATCTTAAATGTTCCTATGTGCATTATTATTTCAGACATTGGCCAACACTGGATATACATTAACTTCAGGAAATATTATGGTACATGACAATGACATAATGACATACCCACGTTCCATGAGCAACACAGAGCCAGTTGTTCTTTCCAGTAAACCACTTAAACATTCTAGTGTTTCCATGGCAGCCAGATTTATCTCGTCCAGTAATACCCAGTCTCCAGCTCTTATAGCCTTCACTAAACTACCCTAAAATGACAGACAATCATCTGTTATTTTCATAAAGTTCATAGATAACAACATTTCATTTACTTGATAAGAATAGAAATAAATAATTTTAATAATAAACCAGGAACATATAAATATATTATATATTTTAAGATGTCTGAATACACAATTTTCTTAACAAATTTATCATGTGTTTTTAACCCTTAAAGTGCTGGAACCGAAAGCATTAAGTCTTTGCCACCAGTATAGAGCCAGGCCAGCCTGCACATCCGTGCAGTCTGACCAGGCTCTATACTGCTGACTGACAAACTTTAAATATTCAAATTGATATCCCTAAAATTGATAATGGACAGTCCCAAAAATGGAAGTGGGACAAGTCCATTTAAAATGTTCAGGGTTAATAATAACCTTTACCATCAATTTTAAACATGATCCCTATTTTTACATCATTAGAACAATAGTTATAGGGAAGAACAGAAAAAGAAAGGTACAGAAATAATTGGTATCTTGCTAACAGTTTACTTACCTCCATAAAAGTAAAAGCAAGTGCATTTTGTGTCTGGTGAACTTGAATCTTCAACTGTGACAAACGTGTGGATACAGATTGCCACTTTTTTAGAAATTTTGCTTCTAAAATATAATATACATGTTGTTAGACAATCCTATTACCGTACATCATCTTTGTATAATGTACCGATTTCATATAATTTATATCTTAAGAACTAGAAATGCAAAACAAATAGTAAACTAGAAATGTGTCTACAGGACACAGATGTCCCCACATTCCCCTCACTGTTTTATCAGTCCCTTGGCAGACAGTATGACAGCAGGACTGATAAACAGGGCTAATCTACATGCCCCTAAGAAGTGAAGGCATATAAAATCACATTTGTTCACTCTCAGACCTACAATTTACGACCATTTATTTTTCATATTCAAGCTTATGTAGCATGTACTTAATAAAGTCTTGTTACAATATAAACATACCCCTACATAACCTATAAATACATATGTATAGTGTTTTCTTTTTATCAGACAAAACGTATAGATTATACTGTAGAAGTGTATCAAGAAATTATTTTACAAACCTTTTTCAAATTTCACAAGGGCATTTTTTGTTGTATGATCCATTAAGGAAAATAGGTTGTCCCATTTTCTCTTTCCAAAGCAATCCTGTCATGTATATAAAACATAAATCATTGATATAATTTAAGTAATAACATTCTCATAAACATTTTAATTTAACTTATGTTCAGAGAACATATCATTCTTTATATTATATACGTGGATATTTCCGCGTGTCAAGAAGTTAAGCAAATTCAAATTCCAGATATTTTATGTGACGAAATATTAGCCAATGGCTGATCGCAGATTGCAACGGTAGAATGTATTGACAGGTTGGTTGATATTTACGCTAGAGGGAACTTTAGCAATTTAAGTCAATATGCAAAATTTGCCAATATTTCCGTATAGCTAACTTAACCACTTATACAATAATAATGATAACAAGACAGCGCCTTAGACTGACAAAACTAAACTAGCACAATTTATCATCATAATAATCATCAAAAAATTCAAAAATAATTTTTTTGACAATCTTACTTTCCCTCTGATTTTCACATATCTTTATTTAATCAATTATAACTTACATATAACAGGAAATCACACGTACGTATATATGTATCAACTTACATGTAAATGTCCTAGGAATTTCACATTCTGTTTTCTGGAGAAAGTTTTACAGAACAGTAATTCAAAATCTTCATAAAATGGCTTGATAATATGTCTCACATCTACCGGCTTGAATCTAGATAAATAACATAACATTGCCATTATCTATACACTATGACAAAATTGAACTTGCATAGATCAAAAACTCTCCTCATTAGCTTAGTTAGTTTATTATGATTTATTTAAGTTTGAATGTGTTGGAAGCTATAAGCTTATTGAAACACTCTCCAATCTGTTCCTGGAACCAACCAGTACTAAGCAATGAATTTAAAGTTTCTTAATCTAGGAATCAACAGGGTTTAAATCCACACGACCAGCAACCCTTTAAATAACTAGTCTGAAGTGTTAACCACTCTCCTCATTTGAACAAAGCCATTTTAAGGAACATATGTTTGAATTTTAATTACATTCTGCTCTATTTAAAGAATTAACAAAATGATTCCCATGTTCTCTTGCACGAAGAAGATAGTGTTACATTCAAGGCAAGCTTTCATTTTGGACAAACTACCCTTGTTTAATTACAATATATGCCTTAAAATACAATTATACATATATCTCTGAAGCTGTTGGTAGGAGCTGATTTAATCACTACTTTTGTACTCTGTAAACATTACTTTTACACTATTTAGTAGAATTTTGGAAGGGTTCAGATAAGAGCTAAAATTATAAGAGAAGACAAATGAAATTTTTTATCATACCCTCCAAGCAGGTCAGCACTGTCACTTTGCTGATTCATGTTAATCACATGTAACTTGTGCCCTAGATTTTGAAAAATAAAGATGATACATGAAAGTAATCAAGTACAAATGTTCATGTAAAAGTTGTTTATCGTACAATGTTTGTGTAAGAGTTGTGGCCCTTTTTATCATACAATGTTCATGTAAGAGTTGTGGCCCTTTTTATCTTACAATTTGCATGTAAGAGTTGTGGCCCATATAATCATACAATGTTCATGTAAGAGTTGTGGCCCTTTTAATCATACAATGTTCATGTAAAAGTTGTGGCCCTTGTAATCATGCAATGTTCATGTAAGAGTTGTGGCCCTTTTTATCATACAATGTTCATGTAAGAGTTGTTGCCCTTTTTAATCCTTTATTATATAGAAGAATCAAAGCTTTGATGTAGAATCAAATAGAAGTATAATCAAGTTATCACTTTCACTTCGCCAATAATTAAAATGGACTGAATAGCTATCAACATTATGAGATGAATACATGCACCTTGCTATTATAAACTACTTCAGTCAAATTTATCAAAAAAATACTTTAAATATAAAATTTTGTGATGTTTTTCAGAAATATAGAAATTCTTCATTAGAAACTTGTTACCTAGTTGTTCAGCCAGATATTGTACAGAAGATGTTTTTCCGGTTCCCGTTTCTCCAACAAGTAACACTGGTTCCTGGTTTCTGACACAAACAGCAACTCTCTCTAACAACACACTTGATTGACGAGTATAGGAAAACGTGTTTCTTCTTCTGCAATTTAACACATTATTTTACATTCCAGATCTGTAATTAAAGGTCTTTAGAAAATGAAACCTTATCCAAACCAAAAAGTACTTTTAAAACAGCTAAGAAGTTTTTTCAAACAATAGTTCTGTTTCTAAGGGGAAAAAAGGTTTCAAAAGTGACATTTAGGTTTCGTCTTGTTATTTTCTTGACATTCAAACATACTTAACTGGTATATGTTCTATTTGTTAGAGACCTTAAAGCATTATCATCCTGACTTTACTTAGTGCCACTTTAAATACATTTTTATTTTTGTATAAAATTTATTTTCATTCATTTTAATACAACAAAGGCATTGGTTAAATAACCCACTTCCACCATTACACTTCTAAACAAACACACAAATGCTCTCAATTTCTCTGTATTTTGCTTTGTAATGTTGTTTTCAAATACATGTATTACATACATGAATATAAATTGTCCGGGAAATCTACAAAGAATGTATCCAAGACTATATATTTACCTTTAATTCAGTACTTGCCACACGTGAACCAGTTATATCATGAAAACATACAATTACAGTATTTTTTCAGTTCTTCCCTTAATGGGACTGGGACCATTTGAATTGTGAAACCTTAGCACAATTTTGGAAATGTAATGTAACAAGATGTAACCCAGGTGATAAGGTCATGTTTTGTACTGTATTTTGTGTAACTGTATTCAGAAAAAGCTCTCTACTACAGATAACACAACAAATAAGAAATGGACAGTTTATTTTACTTTTTTTCTATATTCTTTCACTAACAATAGTGAATTTCAGTCATAAAAATGTGAAAAGGCATCAAACCTTTTAACTTAGTGATTTAATTCAAAGACTGACTAAACTTGGTGAACTTGATAGTAACAACTGCACTCACATTTACAACTGTATAAGGCAAAATCGCGATAGGGAGTAAATGTTTATAGTATATGTTACCTTGATTGTAAGAAGGAAGATGTTTCTATTACAGGCAATGTAACTCTACCGACACTAAATGTCTTGGAAGCTGCAGTCACATCTGGTTTATACTTGTCACAAAAATACTCCACCTGTAACATAAGAAAACATAGTTCTAGTCAAGTTTAGTTTAGTTATTATTATTTAGTTTAGTTAAAAATTATTTATTTAAATTCTAGTGTGAAAGAAGCTTAAAACACTCTTGTGGTGTCATATGAAAGAAAGATGGTTGAGCTTCTGTAGGGTTTAGACCTACAATCCCTTGGTTGAGAGGCAGACAACTAAATTGCTAGGCAAGTCTTCCCTTATACAAATATTTAGATATTATACAAATATTTGGGTTAATATTATACAACTACAACTATTTGGGTTAAATGGACTAAAAACACTCTTTCTTAAAAATGAAAACTGTGTCAAAATAATATCATACAGACATGAAATATAATAATGAACTGAGCTTGGTTTACAGTGACTTAAGTCTAAGTATTCATATAAAAAGTTTCTTTCCCTTAATATTTATTGGGATAGGTGGTAAATATAATATCAAAACTATATCATATTAGTGGTAATTCATTGATTAAGACAAAATTAGAGACCCGCTCAATATATTTTTTTATGGTCGGGTTTTACGTCACATCAACACAGTATAGGTCATATGGCAACTTTCCAGCTTTACTTGTGGTGAAAGACCTCGGGTGACCTTTTCTGCATCATTTCTGGTAGGATTGGGCACACTCAATATTTAGAACATTTCTATAATTATAAAAAATACAAAAAGAATACTGAACTTAATAAATTGGAATTTCATAAAACAAAACTTACCTTGACTTTTGTGATGTTAAGTTTAGCTCCAATGGCCTCGGCAAGAGGTATACGCCTGTCACGCTTCGATAAACATGCAACAAAACAGTCCAACGCTTCCAGGAGTACAAAGTTACCTGCCCCTGATGATGATACATCAAAATCTTTAGCAATTCTTCCACACCAAGTTATCAGGTCTCTGTAAAAAAATTCAAATCCCTTTTAGAAATTACACTAAAAATTTAAAATGTCATAAAAAGCCTTTTTTGTTTCAAGTCAAACTTACTTTATCAAGATGACACAAAAACAATCAAACTTCCAGGATTCATACCCAATCTGTTTAGCAACATATCCCTAGCTATTGTTTACAAAAGACATGAAGCGAACCAAAGTTTTGCACTTCAGAAAGCGAAAATAAGGAAAAAACAATAAATAGACCAATCTACCTCACCTATTTCCTACAGCTAAAGCAGGCCAACGAGATCCGCAGTTCGCTTTTAGCAAAAAATTAATGTATGTCATCCAGACATTCAACAGAGAATAACAACCACATGATTTAAGTCTGTAATTGGTGATTTATGGGTAAAGCTGCACCGTTTATGTGTTGAATGCAACAAAGAGTATTTGAGAAAGGCCCTTAATATAGATTTTACGCAGTCTTTGACGTTTGACCTGGGCCATGATTCAAAAAGTTGCCATGGTATTTATGGCATATTTTTAATATTTAATCTAACTTGTAAACAATCTTGTCACAGAATAATGGGGCAACAAAATATATATACCTGGTTGATATTTGTCTTCCATCATGTGAAAGAAACTTGCCAACTGACTCAATCTCTGTCTCCATAGCAACATCTGACGCCCCCTGGTGGCCACCAGCAGACAACAGGAAGTAGATATCTAATAGTTTATCTACTACAGTCTCCAGACTTGGATACTTTATACATAAAACCTGAAAAAATTCATTTTTCTTATAAGTAGCATTCAGAAGTTGTGCAAGAGCATTACCTAAAACACTGTCATATGGGACCACTTAAATCCAATCTTATATCAAATATATTTGAATATATTCAAGTTTGCAAAAGATAAGCAAATCCTATTTGAAGGACTTTAAGTACATGTAAATGTAGATGCAGCCTTTAAATGCTATTAAGAAGTGTTACAAAATGTAGGCTATAAGGTTTCATTATGGTTCAAATATTCATCACAAATTTTTACTGTTAACCACAAAGTAACTGAAAATGTTGAGAACCTGTGCTTGTACTCAAATGAAAAAGGTCAAAAGTAAAAAGGAACAATATGAATGTAGGAAAGTAGATTCTTGTGTCACAGAGAGAGCCATATTTATGTCTTAAATGTATATCTGTTTGAATTCATTGTTAATCTTTAGAGCAATCACAACAGCACCGTTAATCAAGTGAATTATATAGAATACCATACCTTAGAAAGTTCATTTCTGGAGAGGGGTTCCACAAGTATAGAAGTCCACAGTTTGTCCAGTAAAGCACTGTTACTATTATGTTGTTTACTCCAGCCTGAACTTCCACTTAACAACCTGTAATATAACACTTAACATTCATTATAGTACCATAAATAGTATGGCACAGCCATACATATGATATGCAAATGAGCCTAATTATACATGACTTTGTGTTAGTTGCTTACAGTTAAAGAGGTGAACTAAATATGTTTGTTTCTCTGTATTTTCTCAGGATATGTGATGAATAGAATATTAAATTTGTGAAAATTCAAAATCAAATTTATTGAACTTGTTTAATAAATTCAATATGGAATCCAAACTTATTTGATATCCTCTCTTTATATGCATACATGTAATCAAAGATGAAATATACCTTTGAGTGGCAAACAAGTGAAAGCCTGGTGAAGCCTTGATACTATCGCCATGACCGGGTACTGACAGGGTTCGAGTCTCTAGTAATGGTAACAGTACAGAAATAACCTCCATTGGAGCATAGTCTATGTCCTCCATGACAACCCAGTAACCATTAGTTACAGCCTGGGTTAGAACCCCGGGCTGCCAGATAAATTCACCTGGTACCTCTGTACATCTGTATGTTCCTAATAAAGCCTGAAAATATTATATATAATATAAGATTACGTTTAAATAATTGTGGAATAGTCTGTAAAATAAATTCTTGACCTGTCTGAAATGTCTATCTGGGTATATAGAACAAAAATCTCAGAATGTTTTCATTTTCATGTGAACCATAAAAAATTACTGCATAAAGCTACATCTATACTTATACTTTCTGTCAACTTAAAAATAACGAAATTCATCAATCTTAAGATTGAAAATCATTGTTTTTGTATAAATTTGTAGAAAAATTAGAAGTTATTTAAGATACCACTTCGTTTGCAGTGTGAGTTATGACTAATGAATGTCTCTATTAGAACTGTGCTTTTAATTTCATAACAGAAAATAACTTGACTCTGTAAACATTTTTTTCTCTGAAATCTTTTAAGTATTGTAAGTACTGTAGTATATAGTCTTCAATAAGTCAATGCAGACCTTGCTGTCCATCTGATCTCCCATCTGTATCTTCATCAGAGCTGGTGGTCCGGTGCGGCCAGTAAGTCTAGCCAGATGCTCAACCAAGCTTGTCTTACCAGAACCGACTACCCCCTGTAGTAATACTGGACTACCTGAGGAAACCGCTAGAGCTAGACTATAAAGGTTGGCTTCATTGGAGGGAACTGGTAACAAGTCCAAATCCTAGAAATGATCAAATTGGAAAATATATACATGTACAATATACATAGCAATTAAAACTGATGCTAACTATACAACAAAAAGATAAGCATAGAAGCAAGATGTGTTTAAATTATCCCATGACTAAATGAAAGCAAAATTCAAAATTTTATATTGTATACAGTATAACTGCAATCTTTGTGATTGTAAGAAATATGTATTTGAAAAAAAGTGTAATTTGATTTATTCAACTTGTTTTCTACATGTATATGTACATTGCAGATTGCGGTGGCATAAAAACCCAAAATAGGAATTTCGAACAAAAAATACAACTTACATTATAGTGTAAATTTTAAGGTACTAATTTGATAAAGAAGAAGACCGCTATTGTACCATGAAAATTAATCCCATCATAACAATTCTATTAATGGGGACTAATCAATTCAACACTGTTCAATCTAAACCCTTTTACATTTTAGTTTCTATTAAATATATATTATGCAAATCAATCAATAGTTTAAAGATGAAAGAACAGTAATAATACTTACATGTGCACTAGACTCATCATCTGTCTGTGAACTGGTAACTTTAGACAGAAGTACACCTCCTATACATGTGACTTTTTCACAGAGGTCAGATTCATAAATCATGTGATGTGTATGAGACTGTTGATTGGTCGATATCTCCAAATTTATACATGACTGAACAGCACTAGATGATGTAGGAATATTTAGCTTATGCCTATTAATATAAGATCATTAATTAACGAAATTGTTTCTTCCAATATTTTCTTATCAATAACAAATGATAATTCCATCTGTCTCATTATTTCAAGTTAATGGTGAATCACATTGGCTGACAAGGTCCTTCAAGACTAAAGGTCATCATTACCATCTAATTCAAAAATACATTGTGTCTAAATATGAAGGCTATAAATTATTCTCAAAGTAAAGCATTAATTTCACAATTCCTAAGGTAACTAGGACTCATTTTGCTAAACAATTTTACCAACTGACTTCAAACCATGTTGATGCATGACAAAGATATGGAGGATATTGTGCATGACACATCATCTCATCACGTTACCCATTTCTGCTAAGTTATTTCAAAATCCTTTCATGTATGACAGAGGTATAGGCTGGATAAGACTTTCTAACTGTTGACCTTTGGCCTCCAAATGTGACCTTGATCTTCAAGCTAAGGGTCTGGGTCTTGCACATTACAAACCATCTCATCATGCTCAACATGTGTGTCAAATTGTTTTGAAATTCCTTCATGTATGATTATAGACCCGACATAATTTTCTGCTGACCTTTCACTTCTAAGAATGATATTGACCTTAGATCTAGGTGTATAGGTCTAGCGTATGACACACTGTTTCATCATGCTACAAATTTGTGCTAAATTAATTCATAATCCCTTGATGCATGCCAGTGTAATGGGCTTGTCAAGATTTTCTAACTGCTAACCTTTGACTTCTAAGTGTGACCTTGACCTATAAACTATAAACATATATATGTACAGGTCTAAGGTCTTGCCCATGACACACTATCTCATCCTGCTCAACATTGAGCCAAATTGTTTCAAAACCCCTTGATGAATGACAGAGCTATGGTCTAGACTTTCGAGTACACAAACAAATGCACCTAGTATACTGGTATAGGCATTGAAATTTAGTAGTGAGCAAACTTATGAAAATAAGATTTAATCTTACATGCTGCATACAAATTTAGGTGCAGTCAAGTTAAAATTTACTAACCCTATAATTATGGAGTTCCAATTAAATCAATAAAGCTAAATTATTTCTTCCTTATCGCAAGACAGTTAAAATTACAATTTTGTAAGGTAACTGTAGCATAAATTAAATAATTTATTTATTGTTTACCTTATCTTTAATTCCCTTAAAGTCTGCTCTGTAAAGTATTTATCTAAAAATGTTCTTCTAGCATCTGATGATAATTTTTGTTGTTCCATTACAGCCTGACAGGCAAACCTGAAATAAATGTCACGAATAATGTTAATAAGTATGTTAATGATACAAGGTGAAAATACAAGAAACTTGGCCATAACCCTTCTGCTGCCTACATACACCTGTGCCACCTCCAAAATGGTCTATTGTAATTTCTTAGAGGACATTTTTACAATGTAAGTTAATGTCAACTAAATGACTCCCAGGATAGGCCATTTTTGACCCAAGGTACATATATAACTTGTGTAGTGATCCACTTGGAAATGCTACATGCAAAATATCTAAGCTCTAGACTTTGCAGTTTCACAATACTTAGAAGTGTTTTTCTTTACAAATGATACCATATACTATATATCTAGGCATTGTAGTTTCTATGAATTATGTCTATCTTTTGGTCCTGTGACACATTTATACATCAGTTTGGAACCTGTACATGTATAATTTTCGTACAGGGCCACCTTTGAATTATTCTTGTGAAGTTTGTTCAAAATCCACTAATTGGTTTAGGACGAGATGTTGTTAAAGAAATTGTGGATAACGCCACATGACATACAAATGATATCAGGTCATATGGGCTTCATCTCTCTTTTGGTCAAAGTACAACAGCATCAATTCATTTGAAGTACAAATGTTTAACATTCAAGTAGTTCAGATAAATAGAAGTGAGCCAGTCATTATCATTACTATTATTCAAGTACAAGGGTTGTCCCAAAAGTCTGTGACAAAATCTTATAGATGGCTCATTCCTTAATGCCAGTATAAAATAATTCCCATAATATTATAAAATTATAAATTCATAGGTTATATTTAGTGTATTAAATAATTTATTATTTTACATTACATCTAATTAGGAAATAGATATCAATTCTGAGTGCATTGTTGTAGAATAATGCACGGTTTGAGTTCAAATGCGTAGTAATATAATCACGAAGGCCGATAGGCGTGAGTGATTAATTACAAAGCATTTGAACGAAAAACGTGCATTATTATACAATAATGCACGAAGAATTAATATCTATTTCCATTCTAACATGTCAAGAAAAAATGTAATTATTATTATAAAGTTGGACTTCATGTTTGGTGGTTAAATTTGTTTTCGCCTCAGAGTTTCCAATAGAAACGTTCTTTAAAGGCTGTTCCAGTGGGTTGAAAAAACTGTCGTTAAATCTACCTTGTGTAGAAACAGTTTGAGAATAACGAATTTTAAAAATGGTTGATAAAACTTTGTTTATTTTATTTATTTCACTCTATAATTTTTCAAGCGAAATACAAATTATTAAATGTGAAATAAATGTAAAACTTAACTCGTTTGCGACATTAAAATAGCGTACTTGATTTGATTGTTTTACACATGCTGTTTGGCGCTACATTGAGACGTCACGTAAACAACACTTTAAACGCCTGTACAGTGTTAACGACTGAATTAAAGATATTGGTGTTAGGATTCATTTTCTTAGTTAGACCATTTTTTTTCGTTCTAGATAGTTTTCACAACAAAATTCGACAAAAAATTGTTTTTATTTATCAGATTTTTTAAACAAAATGGCGCCCTCAATGTGAAAATACACAGGGAGATAATAAGAACGGCGAGTGCATTGTTGTAGAATAATGCACGCTTCCGGCTTTCTTTGTCTATATAGGAAAATTTCCGATAGTGTTAGAATTAAGATTTAATATTAGCATCAGCAGCATTTATCGGCTATTTAACACAGATTTAGCATTTTGATGCGTAGAAATTGACCACAAAGGCCATAGGCCTGATTAGTTTTAATTTTTTCGCATCAAAATAAAGAAATCTGCATTTTCTTATGAATAGACTAGAATAAATTATTTAAAAAATCTGATGATGTCTCTGCACAATATCACACTGACTTCCTCTCCACATATGATGAAGTCATCTAAGAAAATTTTAGTTAAATATCTTTAGAAACAAAAGAGAAACTGACACATGAAAACATCAGATAGAAAATAGGAAAGTTAAAATTTTGACATCCGGCACAGTGAACATTTATCCGGTTTGTTGGCAATCCAAGATGACACTTGTTAAGACTTTACAACTAATTCACCAAATAGAACAGTTTAGCAACATATCCCCTAGCAGTTGTTTACAAATTACACAAACTGAAACAACAGTTTTGTACTACAGAATGCAAAAATAAGAAAATAGAATAGGACGATTTAATCTTGGTCACCTATTAATCAGAGCTAAAGCAGGTGTAACTAGGCCGAAGTTCAATTCTAGCGTAGAGTTAATATCTGCCATTAAAAATTCAACCGAGACTAACAACCACATGGTTTAAGTCTGTTATAGACAATTCATGGGTAAAGCAACACCATTCATGCATTGAAAGACGCTAAATGTAGGTTAAATGTCATCTCTGACTTTTGTCATGTGCAGCAATTCACATGTAGTTGCCATGGTATTTATAACAATATTGTTTGTTTGGTGATATTTTTCTATATTAATCTGTGAAAAATGTTTATATTGTACAAGTTTATAACTCATTAAAATATCTTATTTGTACCTATTTTATTTAGCTTTTAAACAATCTTGTCACAGAATATTGGGACGACCCACATAGATATAATATCTTTATCGTACAAGTGGCAACATATTCCCTGCACAATTTGCATTAAAACGGGCACATAATAGAGGAAATTGAATAAGTGTAGATCAATAATGAATTTATTGAACACGTTGAATAAAAATATCTTAGTCAAGACTCTGGCAAGCACAATATTATTTTATTCAGTGAGTTCAATAAATTTAGTAATGAAGCTACACGAATGTAATTTTCTTTTTATCACATATCTAATAAGAACTTGTTAACAGTTAAAAACAACCACTTTTTCATTGAAGTGGTTATAGTATTACACTAACATTTAGCGAGTCTTTATGCTTTGTTTGTATAACGCAAATGACATAACATTTAAATATATGCCCAGCCATGCAATACCATTTCTTACGGAGTTGCAAAAGCAGCAGAGGTATGTGATAATCTTACTTTTATCTCAAAACCAAATGAAGTTATTGCTGTGGCCTCTTCATCAAATTCAATATAATGAACCAGGTTATCAAAACGCAAAGACAAAGAGATAAAACTGTTCAAGGAGTTCAATTTGTATGCTACAATAGATACCAAAGGGCATCTAATGATTACATTCACATCAATGAGTGAGCATATTACCAATCTAACTTTTGTCTAAAATAGACAATCAGTTTGCTGTTCAATTCTAAAGGCACTAAAATGTCTGATGCTGTTTATGGCAAACTTTTAAGAGATAATGATATTCCTGATATTCCTAAGGATGAGATCATTAATGAAAATATACATAATTGTGACCCTTGTTTCCAAGATGGAGATAAAAAGACAGCTGAAGGATTCTGTGTGGAGTGTCAACATTACCTGTGTGATGAGTGCTTTAAGTACCATTGCCTTCCTAAACCAATGAGACATCACAAGTTGCTAGGGAAGTCAGATATGCCAAAGAAAAAGCTTGATGAGAGTTTTACTGAAATGTGTTTACATCATGAGGGAGAAATGATTAAATATTACTGCAAAACAGATGAAGCAATTGGCTGCAACTCTTGCATGATCATACATCACAAACCATGCCAAGAAATCTGCACTCTTGCAGAAATTGCTAAAGATGTTGATCACCCTTGCAGAAATATATACTGGTATTTAAAAAGTCCCAGTATTTCCCAGTTATTATCCCAGAAAATTCCAGAATGTTAAAACCAGTCTTGGCTATTCTAGTATGGCCTAGGAAAAACCAGTTACTGAGAATTAGGCATTTCTAATAATTTTTAAACAACTCATCAATTTCAAAGTTATACTAGGAATTGTAATTTATTTTCTGAGATTTCTAAGACTTAAGATTTTGCAAAATTCCTAGTCTTTAGGAATTACTTAGAATTTATCTTGTAGAACAAAATCCTTAACATCTTTGCTAAATTCCTTGAATCTTACATAAATTCCTCAAGACTAGGAATTCTCTTTGTTGAAAGTAAACAAGTAAATAAAGAAGGAAGACAATAAAATTGAAAATAAAAATGTTTTCTTTCTTTTTTTAAATAAAACAACAAACTGATCTAGATCTATTTAATAATATTTTCTAGGATTACTTTTATTATTATTATTTAATTGAAATTTAATAATCAATTGACCTTAATGGTCAACCTGCATTATGACAATTTTATCATTGGCCATTTAATTAATAGATATTAAATAGGAATATATAACCCAAAAAGAAATAACAAATGTTCAGGCACTCCAAGTAAATCAAAGACGTATTATAAACATTAAGAAAATAATCAATAATTGACATCTGAAGTATGTAATTTTCATCAGTTGTGTAGAGCTATTTTTAGCGCTGTCAAATTGCATCCACTGATGTCATGCTTCAGTGCACAGGCTGTGTGTATAAACCACTTTATGCACGGCTTATACTGCCTGTTGACATTTTTATTGATTGTGATTTGAACATATGTAGAGCGGGTGCACCTATTACCGAACACTTAAGCCGCGTTTTATCTCGGTCGGAATTATGAGCACTTTAAACTAAAGAGAGACAACTCTTCAATAGATTAGTAACTATGCTACAATTTTGGCCAGTATTAGAACCCTAACGAATACAAATAAAGGCGTTATCGTCCGATCAAAAGATCTACCAACTGCCCCTAATACCGAATGATGATTGTAATTCCGAACATTGGTGTTCCTAATTCCGAACATGAGGAACTTTTTAAAATAAATATGTTGAGTAATCAAATACACACCATTTTCGTACTTTGGCACAAATCTACATTAGAAAAGAGTTTTGTCAATCATCAAAGTATTTTTAAAATGTTAATTTTATTAAACATATTCATTTCTGCAACAAAAGTATTGAATGTCAACGAAAAGGAAAATATATAGTTTCAAAAAACCAAAAAATGGATTCAAACAATATATTTAAACATATTTTAAGCGACAATATTATAACTACAGTTTGCATCAAGTAATCTTCTATATGTAGAGAATATATGTTGTTGCACTAACACTAACAGTATTACATTCAAAAGGAAGATCATCCGAGCAGTCGGTAAGTTCATCGGCAACACAAATAAGGAAAACAGCGCCTGAAACAATTTATGCACTGTATATAGTCCTCATAAAGTGTTTTGCACTTAAAACATGTTGTAGGACTTACTGCAATATCATCATCTGAATCGGATGCCTCAATTTCTTTTATGATCTGTTTAGTCTCTTGCTTCTTTTTCTCCTTCAGTTCTCTCAGCTTTTTCTTCGCCTCTTCTCTATCCTTCCGTTTCTTTTCGAGTGCAATCTGTTTCTCTTACAACTCTTTGGCTCTCTTGAGATTATTTTGTAATCGTTCTCTCTATCATTCTTGTTTTTTTTTCAATTCCTTTTCTTTCTTTTCTTCTTTTTTCGTTCAACCATTATCTGTACTTTTCCCCTGTTGCTTTTGGCATTATCATTTTACGTGCTTTTGGTTTCTTTGTTTCAGTCTTTGGGAATATTAAATGTTTGCTAAATGGTGACATAGATACGTCTGTTGCTTTAGGAACACATCAATCCGAAGATTTCGATGGTGTTGTAATAGAATCAGTCGTACGTAATGTTAGGTGTCACAGTAAACATGGAGGCAGTTGATGTAGCAGTCGGCTCCATTGAGAGAGACACGACTGTGAATGGCTTAGATGGAGTGGTGACTAAATCATTTGAAGCTGTAGGTATTTCATCAAGCACAGATTCGTTTACAATATCTGACGGCGATAATTTACTAGCTGATGTAGGAGGAGTCACAGCTGCTGTAACAACAGTAGTTGCTGTAGTTATTGAGTCCAATGGGGTGAATCATTCTCTTTCAAGTTTTGTTCGGAATTTGGAACATTCAGTGAGTTCATTATGTAATTCCGAACACTGCCAGTTATTCACTCATACGACCTTAAAACATGTACAGGGGCTTCACACATGATTTTTATTTTTGTCTACATCATTGATTTCAAAAGAATTTGACTAAAGCATCAATATTCAATATTTTATGATATTAGTAAAAATTTGTAAAAAAATAGCTAATAAATAAAATGTCTAACCAAAAATTGAAGTAAATCCTTGAATGCCCAAAATCACAACAAACAACACAACCGCGAATTCAAAATGTTGCGGGTGGAAAGAGAGACAAATTGACGTTATAATAATGATTTCAATTTTTTGAATTGTGTTAAACATGAAATATTAAATGAATTATAATATTTTGGTCGGAATTAGGAGCATGTTCGGCATTAGGTGCACCCGCTCTAGATCTAATTAGGGGTGGATTTAAGGTGATTATTATTGCATAGTTGAAAATCCCATGTGGCAAATAGACTCTTGTGCAGATTTTTTCACGTGTCAAATTTGTGCATTTCCAAATTTTCACGAGTCAAAACCCGAATCCCCGCCTGAATTAAAGTAGGCCTATATGTGGCAGGTCATATAAATTATGCTGACGGAAATTAACGATGATAACTTAGTCTTTACTTAACCAGCGAACCTTTACGATTATACTCGAACCAATTTTTAGATATTTACGCTTAAAACCCAGACGAGCATAATTTCTACTATTAATACGTATTTCTGAGACGTAAAACAACACAATTGTTTTTGGGAAAACTGTAGCTTTGTATGGGAAAATTTTTAAACGTTGTTGGGGGTTTAAAATAAAAGATTTGTGAAATAAAATTCAACGATATAATTGAAATTATTCAGTCATTGTATTGACGGCAAAAACAACGGAACTACACGAAATTTTGCGAATCAAGCACATGTTACTGACGTAGTACACAGGTTTATTACGTAGAAGACACAGGTTTATTGTGCGCGCAATATTCAAAGACGGCAGACACTTCGTCTCATATCGACAGTGAACTGATATCGTCTCCCCAATAAAGACATACAACGAGGAAGGTGAAATAGCTCAAGCAAATTATCAGAAGAAGACCTCCAAAGCTGCAATCGGTGAAATTCACTGTGAGTATTATCATAAATGCACTGATTTTTTCCCAAACAGAGCGGCGTGTTTATGACCTCTAGAAAAAATGAAGAGTCTAGAGATTATTTTAATGACCTTTCTTCACTTCTAAAAGCATTATTTTGTAAACAATTTGCCAACTGTAACAATAGAAATAATAATTGTATTTCCAGCTTATTCCTAGTTACAGTTAAGATACTTAAACCTTACTGGAAAAAATGCGTAAACGGACATTTGTCACATATTTTCGCGACCTGTTTTTATTTTTTCTTTGTTGAACAGGAAAGATATAATAATAATAATAAATAAAAAACAAAGCATCGTTGAAGATGGCTGTGCTTCCCTGCAGGAAATTAATTGCTTATGCCCTTTAAAAGTACAAAATCACAGGGGGCCCACACAGTGTTTGGATGGTATATACTGCTTGATAATGACCTTAAAATGAAATTTTAGTCATAACCTTATAATATGTATATAAATATAGACAAGGGGCATTACTCGATAAATAGAGAATTTTCGATCACCCTCAAATTCGTGCGAGATTTTCCACTAATTAAATAAAAAAAATCTAAAAACTATACTGCGTTGCATAGCTTATATAATCCCCAATTGATAAACACTAAATCTATTCTGATTCCCTTAGCCCATTTTAAGAAATTTATTCAAAACCGTTCACTTCTGTCACAAAATTGCTTAGTCGTACGAGATGTCGCAACACCAAATTCCACGGGTAAAATATCAATTTTAAAAGGGGGAGGTACAAATAAACGCATGCAAACAATAACACAACATAGTTTCTATTACCTACCTGCGCAAATAGTCGTGAAGCACTCTATATTCGTCTGTTTCGAACGAAATCTTCAAATCAGTGCAGAAATCTGCTTCGGCGAATACATGTTGGAAATTCTGGTCATGGTGTATGGAAACCTTTCATTGGTTGTCGTTATAAACAAAGTTCCTACCGAACCAATGAAAGGGCTCGATACACCGGCTGGACACGTGACCGGGGTTTCCCAAGATGTCTACGTCGAAGCAGATTTCTGCTCTGATTTGAAGATTTCGTTCGAAACAGACGAATATAGAGCACTTCACGACTATTTGCGCAGGTAGGTAATAGAAACTATGTTGTGTTATTGTTTGCATGCGTTTATTTGTACCTCCCCCTTTTAAAATTGATATTTTACCCGTGGTATTTGGTGTTGCGACATCTCGTACGACTAAGCAATTTTGTGACAGAAGTGAACGGTTTTGAATAAATTTCTTAAAATGGGCTAAGGGAATCAGAATAGATTTAGTGTTTATCAATTGTGGATTATATAAGCTATGCAACGCAGTATAGTTTTTGGATTTTTTTTTATTTAATTAGTGGAAAATCTCGCATGAATTTGAGGGTGATCGAAAATTCTCTATTTATCGAGTAATGCCCCTTGTCTATATTTATATACATATTATAAGGTTATGACTAAAATCTCATTTTAAGGTCACTATCACGCAGTATATACCATCCAAACACTGTGTGGGCCCCCTGTGTACAAAATATTGTTTTGAAAAAATAAATGCATGGCTAGCAAGTTTTTTTTACTCCCAGACAGTGCAATACCCTAGTATGCAGACAGTTCACTACCTTAGCAATTTTGAACTTGTATTAGAAAAAAAAGTTTTTCATAAAGAAACAATTTTTTTTATATGACCATTAATTTATGTAGATCTAGTTATATATTTAGAATATGATAAACAAGATCAACAAGAAAAGATGATGTTCAATAAGCCTACATCATGTCTGTATTTTAAAATAACACATTACTGACAGACTGTATTTTTAAATCACAAAACGATACCTCCAAAAATTTATTTGAAACAGAAATCATCATGTTTTCTGTTTGTTTTTGATTTATGTGTGTGTTTGTGTGTGATTTAATCTCTAGATTTCTGTGCATGTATAGGAATTATTGGACCACTAAAAAAGTTGTCTAGGCCACCAAAATTTATCGGTCATTCAGTGGTCCAAGTGACAGCCTAGCTAAAATGGTTTGTCTTTGACACTGTCTTAGCCTATACTAGAGAATCTGAATACTGGTCCATTAAAATAAATCCCACATGATGATTTGCAAAGAACAAAAAAAGCACAAACAGTGTCATACTTTAAGCACTAACCTGAATACATTGCCTCTCAGTCATTGAATTTAAGATTTTTGAATATACTCGTCCGAATTCCAGTTTTGAATTTATTCTACTATATATTTAACTCTTAAAATTTACACTGCTCATGGGCCACCGGGCCAGTGCTAAATTTGATGACTGTAATGTGTTATTGTATTAGGGGGCAGGACATGAAGTGGTTGAACACGCTTGAACAAGATATTTTTGTGGCCCCACTTTAGTGGCGGGCATTTAGATTTACCCTTGTCCGTCCGTTCTCTTTTGTGTCGGATGTAACTCAAAAAATATTTGACCTAGTCATGAAACTTTACAGGAATGTGTTGATCAGCATGTGTAGTTGTGCACCTGGGTATTTTTATCTGGATTTATATAGTATTTTTAGAGTTATTGCCCTTGACTTAGTAAAATTTTGCAATTTTCAACTTGTGTGGCATGTAACTCAAAATGGGTTTGACATAGAGTCATGAAACTTTGCAGGAATGTTGATCAGCATGTGAAGTTGTGCACTTGATATTTTCGTGTGGATTTATTTTATTTTTTAGAGTTATTGACCTTGACTTAGAAAATTTTTGCAATTTTCAACTTGTTGCATGTAAATCAAAAAGGATTTGACATAGAGTCATTAAACCTTACAGGAAGGTCGGTCAGCATATGTAGTTGTGCACCTTGGGTTCCGCTTGTGGATTTATCCCGTATTTGTAGAGTTATTTCCCTTGACTTCGTAAAAACCGTTTCATTATGTTGTGTTATTTGTTCCTTGAGTGCTTGAGTTAGAATCAACCAACTTTACAGAAATAATGATCAACATCACTTAATTACAGATGTGAATAAATGAGCATAAAAACCGCCCTGGATTTTCACTTATCAAATTTCAAAATATGTACATGACCAGTTTATAACTTCAATAGCTTTGTATAACCAAAAGCTACAAATCTGAGGCCCAGAACAGAGTGTGTCATAAACACGTCCTTCATGAATGGCCATTTAAAAAAAAATCAAATAACATACAAACCCACTTACCTGAAAAAATATGTGAGAGTTTTGTAAATATTTAAGACACAGAAACCATTTTGTCAAGTTTGCAATGATTTTACTTGCTTGAACCAAGTGTGCATCCACTTCACGTCCTGCCAAGTGATTTGTATTAATTTCGTTTTCAAATATCTTGGTATATTTCAATATGTAGAGAAATGTATTTGTTTGATTTCAGATAAGAATTGGTACCACAAGGCCACAAAGGGAGGAGTTCAACTAATTTGTGGATGATGTTCAAAGCTGAGGAGAGTGAGAGCTTAAATCTATAAAACGGGTCAAAAACGTTTGATAAAGAAACTGTCATAAATTCTTCAGGTAATTGAAAGAGGGCAAGTTGTACAAAATGCCATGGAGCTAAATATACATGGAGAAGAAACTGTGATGTCACACAGTTAAATTCAGTATTGGCAGAATTGTGTTCTTATAAGTTATCATATGTTGCGGGATTTTCAGAGACTTGATGCATCCTGGGTAAAAATAGCCAAAACACCGTCATATTGGATTCCCTGAGGAAGATGAAACATTTCTTTGCTTAAATAGAAAGCAACATAGTTATTTATTGTAAAAGGTACTATACACACTTTTCTATACAAATATTTCTCTGATGAAAATCTATGTCGGGGTATGTAAACAATAATTCATGGATATCGTCCAAGTTTAACGATAGTGCGAAAATTGGAGACTATCGAGAAAACCCAATTATCACCAAAGCCTGCAAAGGATTGTGGGTCTAAATCTGACTATTATCTATTTTTAGAGCTTCCTATCTGTTGTATATATATATATATATCTGTGAAAATGCAAAGAAGTCGTTGGATTACCAAAGATCAACATTTCATTTGATTACCAGAGATCATCAATTCAGTGGATTACTGCGATTCTCAGTATGAAAGATTTGATGACAAGAAAATTATTAAACCGGCAAAAATTGGATCTTACAGCAAGGATTTACTCATTTCAGAAGACAGCAATAGAAAATGTAGGAGTTGCATGTAATACTGGAGGTTTCTTGCGTCATGTTTTGTACTGTTTAAGTGACGTTTCTTAGACTGTTTAAGTGATGTCCCTCATTCAATCAGTTAAGAAAATGATGAAAGCAAATAAAAATCTAGGAGTGACCTAGTCAAGTATTATAATGTTTTAACTTTTAGTGCTAAATTCAAAGAGGTGTCACATGTTACACTGTTTTAAAAAAAGGAATCTTAAGTCAAGTGTTATTGCCAAAACTCATTGCATTCCAGTAACTACAATGATATATATCTAAAGAAGTGTGTCTTAACAATACAAAAACAATTAAACTGTAAGGAAAATACTTTGTTTCATATGCAATCATGCTTTTTATTAAATTTAATAGTTTGCTTATGACTGATGTTGAACTGCTTGTCATTTAACTGGATTTAAAAGTGCACATTTTAGTTCACATCAGTACAGTTTGCTTATGTGAAGTAATGTGATTGCCCTGTGTCCAATGGCATCTTGTATTGTCAGCAATTTCTTGTAATGATATCTTCTACAAAACTGATTATTTGATTTTAATCGTAATGATCCTTTGGTGGCCCTAGTAACAGTAATTCAGCTGTGGTCCAGTCATACCCAGTTGCTAGAAATTTCAGTACAATGCAATCCTAGGCTATTCCAGCCATTCCTTAGATCATGGAAATACCAGGAACGTCTGGGATATCCAAGTTCTTTGAAATGCCAAGGAATTACTAGAAAAAATGTTCCAAATACCGTGGGCAGGTCATTCTCAGTCATTCCTAAGATTGTAAAAATACCAGGAGTTACTGGTATTATCATAGGTCTTTGAAATGCCTTGAAATGCCTGGGATTGACTAGAAAAATGTTCCAAATACCGTGGGCAGGTCATTCTCAGTAATTAGGATTTTCCAGTACAAGTCGATCTAAGGCATTCCTGGTTTCACATTTTTTTTCTAGTTATTACCAGTAGTTTTCAGTCGTTCCAATTACCGCCAGCCAGTAACTGGAAATTCCTCAGATTTCCTTGCATTTCCTAGGAATTATCCCTGTAAATATTCCTGGGATTTCCCACAAAAATCCTAGTAAAATCCTGGTAAATTACCAGTAATTTCTGCAAGGGAAGTCTACTGCATATAAAGAATTCTGTACCAGAATGGCAAAAACCAAGACAGACCTAGAGGATCAAATACCTGCTGCAATAGAAAACAGAGCAATAAGTAAATCGTGCAGAGAAACTGCTCTTTTAGAAGTCAATGCCTTACAGCAGAAGATTAATGATCAGTTTGAATCACTGAAACAGCAACTTGCAAACGAAGCTGTGGAAAAAGAGGAAAATTATGAAAGAAAAAGCAAAGAAGTAGAAGATTCTATCAATGATGCAAAAAATGTCTTAGAGAATCTTAAAGAAGATTTTCAAATATTGGAGGAAACAAAACAAAGCAAACAGCTATTCATTGCATTAAACAAAAATAATGCAAAACTAAAAACCCTAGAACAAAAAGTGACAGATTTACAGAAAGAAAACAAAGTGGAGAAATATGTTTTCATTCCGAACAAGTTTTTGACAAGTATGCTGAAGAATATTGATGCTATTGGTGAACTGTGTATACAAAATGAAGAGAAACCAGAAGAAGATCTAACAAGTTTCTATGGAAACTATCCAGAGTATGGAATGCCAAGAGGAACCCCTTTATCAAATGAATATGTAATTGTACTAGATACAATTTACAACCGAGTAAGGTTGTATTCGACAGAAGAACATAGCTTTGTAACAGAGAAAGAAGTAACATCATGTCCATGGGATATTGCAGTAATTGATGAAAACGTGTTTGCAGTTACAATGCCAAATGAATATAAAATCAAAATCATGTCTATTGAAGATGAAAATATTACAGAAGATAAAGAAATCAGCATTGGTGCTAGATGTGAGGGTATACACTATGCAGATGAGAAGCTGTTTGTAGCATGCAGTAAACCTGTACAAGTTTTGATTCTTGATACAAGTAAAATAATACTCCCGTGTGATTCAAAGGATCAAGCAGGGGAAGTCTTATTCCAACAACCAGCATGTATATCCTTTAATGAAAAAAAGCAACTGATATGTGTCTCTGATCGAAAAGCAAGACATATTGTAACCATGACAACTGAAGGTAAAGTACAAAATGTATTCAGTAGTGAGAAATGGAAAATGCCTCTTACAGTTCAGATGAATAACAATGAGCTCATAACCTCAGACTGTGAAACAGTTTGCACATCAACAATAGATTTGACAACTTATGAATGTAAATTTGATGAAAAATTGGCATCTGGATTTTACAAGGACTTACCAGTTTATGAAAGGTTATTTGGATGTATGTTTTTTGTTGAATAAACAAGATGTCAAAAAATTAATGACACTTTCATTGCACTTGGTGCAATTTATTTTTGTAACATAACTTCGTTAATATTTTGGAAAATTAACATAACTGTGTTCTTTTGGAAAATTAACAAATGCATAGTAACTTATACATTGACTTAAATATCAGGAGAATTATGTGTATTTATTCTATTTATTTTTTATATCTGTATGTAACTGAATGAATGTTTTTATTTTATTGCGTAAAAAAATGTTTTTTATTTTTGCATAAAAGATAATGACAATTGTGATCTATTCCAGCTAGCCAATAAAATCAACAAAGTAGTTTGTTGTTTTATTTATAAAAAGAAATGCTGTCTTTTGATTATCAAATTTCAAATATTTGCAAGAAAATATCTAGAATCAGCGATATATTTATATTTACAGTTATAAAATGATAACCTATTGTAGGGGAAATTATTATTTCACCTAACGTGTGATCTTGACCTTGAGTCAAAATGTCTGACTCATGCCTTCTGCACATCATCTCAGTGAGCATGAAATTTTGAGCCAAGTTTCATGACAAAAAAATTGAGCAAGATTTGTTTTAATCTTGGATATAATATAATGGGACAAGCAACCATTTATTAGGTAAATCAAGTCCTATGTCGGCATCCAATTGACAGTCGATCTAATGGAAAAATATCAGATTCATAAAGAAAACATAGAATGAAAGAAATTTGTCAGTATCTCTTATTCAAAGTGAGTGGGGCATATGTGAAATCATTGCCAAACCTACTTAAAATGAGAAGCGTAATATTTTGTTTTATCTTGTTTCCGTATAATATTCATGTATATTAAATTACACAGACATTCTTTGTAACAAAGCCTTCAAAAAGAAACGTAAGGTTATGAAAACAACATAGTTTTTCTGTTTTTGACTTTTTTAGCTTTATAGACTTTAATGCCATCTTTATAAATAATTGCATTTATAAATTTTCATAAGACACATTAAGGTCATTAACCCTTTCCCCCATGAGCATATTGTGAAAAATGGCCATTTTCACTGAAAAGCCTCCTGTTCAAACTGCTATGAAACTATGAAAAATGCTTCAATACTAATCAAACTTGGCACAAATGTTGACTGAACCATTGCCTTTGTAACGACATGCTCAGTCTTAAATTTCCTGTTACCATGGCAATGAGGGGACATCTCAAAATTGCCAAAAATCACTATTTTGCCTCGATTTTTTCCATCAAAATTTATTTCAAAGTGCTGCAACTTCTCAAGGGATTGAGATAGAGTCAAAGGCTTTTCAGCGTTGGTTACACGTTACATTATGATCGACCTGGGGTCATTTTTAGCCTCTCACAAGTCCAAAATTTTCTTGGGGATGAGGGTGACTCCGCCCCTCTTCAAACCCCCCTAACAGAAGGGGGCACATCCCCCTTCTGGCAACCCCCTGATGCATCTTCTGGATGGGGGGCGGCGCCGAAAAAGTGCTCATTTTTTTTAGCAACATTTCTCAAACGAAAACATGAGGACATTTTTTCACTATTTGAAGCCTAAAAAAGGGGGGGGGGGGTAGAAAGTGCGTTGTTTCGCGTATATATGAGGTAAAGGGTTAAGATACAAAAAGACTGTTAAAATGTTGTTGGCATATATTTTCTGCATTAACACCCTTTACAATGTACTACAGACAAAAAATACCCTCTCACAATGATCAAAGCAACAAAATGCTGGCGTGTACATATCAGTGACTGAATAAAAACAAGGCACTAATCCTATGATTTAAACAAATAAAAAATAAAGATGCTTTTCGCAGATATAGTAAAATATGCCTCTTTTGGTTATTTAAGAGGCAGCAACTTTGTAATACATGACTGCACTTTCAGGTTGTTTTAAGTCATGGTCAATTGTCTTTTTATGGTACAATTGCTGTGACCATTCAGTTTAAATTGCAATAAATACAAACAAGAGCCGTCACAGGAGACAGCGAAGCTCGAATAATAAAATACTGGACGCAGTAAGGAAGACAAAACTATGAAATAAAAATCAATTATGTATAATTATGTATTAAGTTATAGTAAAAAAATAACATTGTTAACATAAATTCCAAGATCAAGGGGAATAATTCTGGAAATAGTCACGCTAGAGTTATGAACCTTGTCACACAACATGTGTGTAATGATAAGAAATATATATTTGAAGTTTGAAGTAGATACCTTAAAAAGTAAAGAAGTTATAATATTTCTTAAAGAAAATCCTAAGTTCAAAGAGAGATAAATCTGTAAATATTGCTTCAAGAGTTATGAACCTTGTCACATAAAATGTAATTGATGATAAGGAATAAGTATTTGAAGTTTGAGGTAGATACCTTTAAAACTAAAAAAGTTATAGTAAAAAATAACATTTTTCAAGTAAAAAAATCTAAGTTTATGGGGAGATAATTCTTGCAATATTGGTGCTAGAGTTATGAACCTTGTCACATAACATGTGGTTAATGATAAGGTACATATATTTGAAGTATGAAGTTGATCCCTTAAGAAATAAATAAGTAACAGTAAAAAATAATATTTTTTAAGGAAAATTCTAAGTTCAAGGGGAGATAAATCTGAAAATATTGGTGCTAGAGTTATGAACCTTGTCACATAAGATGTGGTTGATGATAAGGAACATATATTTGAAGAAGTTTGAAGTTGATACCTTAAGAAATGACAAAGTTGTAGGGAAAAATACTTTACTGCACCAAAACTTTAATCTGAAACCTGGATGCGGACACCGACACCGGGGCGAGTAGGACAGCTCTCCATATACTTCATATAGTCAAGCTAAAAATTGCTATTGTGTAGACAAAAAAATTGTGGACATCTGACAGCCATTGATCCTACAAGCTCATATGATCCTAGCATGCTCATTTAGCTAAAAAATTAAGCAACAATTAAGTTAAAAGGGAAATAATTCTTGTAATGGGTGCTAGAGTTATAACCTTTGTCACATATGTTGGTGATGATCAGGTACATATATTTGAAGTTTAAAGTAAGTCCATAAGAAATAAAGTCTTTAAGCAAATACAGTATAAATGTTCTACTGCATCAGAAATCTGGATATGGATACCAATTCCGGGGTGAATAGCTCACCATATACTTTGTATAGAAAAGTAAAAAGAAATATTCAGGATATATCTATGTAATATAAGTATTCTTACCATCTAACATCATTATTGTCATGTGTCAGGTACGGCATCAAATGCTTTAATGGTGTCACATGACTTGATTCATCTCCTAGGTAACAGGCAAACAACCATGCTGCTCGGCACACTGATACTTCATATGTCTGAAACAATCACCAAATGAAATAATATATGAAAATTGTTACAACAAAAAATGTGTATATGTACATTAATTGTCTGTTCTGTGTAAATCATATTTTAGATTCAAACAAAGTCAAAGGGACATAATTATGTATGGGTCATGGCAGAATCAGTAACATTCTTAAAGAAAGCCTTGCAATTTTTTTCCTATTTGTACTAACTTTAATACTTAAGCAGTAAAATTTGTTTCAAAGTCAAAATTAAAAAAATTGCTAAGAAAAAAAAAGTGTGAAATGAAATACATTATTACATCAAGAAGGTCTGACAACTGTACAGAGAATAAAAGGCTAATAAGTTACAAGATATGATTCACCAATGAATACAAAGAAAAGTAAGATGTCCAGAAAATTAAGTCATAAAAATTGTCATGGCATGGTTCAGGCTTAACTATTGTTTAGCTGTAGTTAATGCACTGCGCATGTCCAGTTTCAGTGACCCCAAAAAGTTTTTTTGGAACCAGAGAGACTGTGCATATGGTGAGGGTAAATATGTGATGTCACTATAGTCTAACAATTGTGAGTTTTCACATTGTCTAGTCAAACTACTGTGACCATAGTTGGTGACAAAACCCTGTCATTCTCTATTCAGTGACAAAAATATCAAGGTTAAAACAATCTTGGTGTGATATTATATACCAAATATCTAAGCTCTAATCCTTGAATCTTCACACAAAAAGATTTTTAATTTTTTTTTATAGATATTTATATAAGGAAAACCCATGCCCCAGGGGCGGGGAAAATTTTGACACTAGGGACAAAATTTGAACAACTTTGGTAGAGGACCTGCATAATGTACTTCTAAAGCAAGATAGCAAGATTTCCAGTCATTTATCAGATTACATTTTCAATCTGAATGTTAAGTAAACAAGTCTACCTTTATCAATCAGACATATGTGATGTAAGATGCTGTTAGCAAACTGAAAACATTTACTACCTGTGATTTTTTAGCTTTTTTCCTTCTTGGCTCCACACTAGTCTCATCTTCTGACTGTATAAACCCTGGTTTCTGAGCTATATAATCCAATGTAAACCTACAAAAAATAAACACTATTTCTTCAAAGGTTATTCTCGAAATTCTAAATATGGATAATGCTAGTAATAATGAGACAGGTTTCCTACAAGATTTTGCACATTATCTTGCGTAAAGTATTGTAGCAAACATTTTCGTTGAGTTGTCAACTTGAAATTTCTTATTTACTGGTTACTCACTTATCATTACTTAATTGTTCTTTGACATAATCTGTCTGAAAAGTATTAAAGTATAATCTTTGCAACTAAACATGTTAAAGACAAATATATTCAAATGACAAAGGTGTCACATACTGGTAAATAAATGGGTATCATATCATCATATAGAGCCTATAGATGTACATTGTACAATTAAGTCATTAATATGATGAGTTTTTTATGTACAATGTAGGCCATAAGTTTTTTTTCCTCCAAAAAGAATCAGTTCTTATAACGCAATATATTAATAGAATTATATAAAAATAAAACCTCTGAATATCTGGCCAGTATAAACACTTGCTCAGAGAAATGCAGAAATCTTGATGTTGCTTGAAGTCAAATTCTGTATGTTCTATTTGTATTCTACATCTCCATACGATATCTAAAAGAACTGGCCGACACTTTACTGCAATATTTAACGTCTTTTCCTTGATAAACAGTTCACTCAATTTGTTTAAAATCTTTGAACGATCACCTGGAGTCCATATCTGAAATATATAAAAATATGTAAAATTCCCTCGTTTACTTCTGCCATCTTCTACTTTTTAATTATACAGTCTAACCTAGTGGTCAACAAGGGGACTTAGCTAACATGACCACTGTAAACAGATGACTCCATTGTGCTATATTAAGATTGACACCGAAATGTAATGTTATGATGCACCATGATGCTGTATGAAGGATGAAATATATTCATAATTATTTAGTATTAAAGCAACTTTTACTTCAATGTACCAAATACTTTGAACATGATAAAGTTTCAACATGATCTTTTTAATTTTGAAGTATAAACAGATAGCAAATAAAAGAACATGTTTTTCAAACACAATTTAATCACATCTGCATCAGGTTGTTAATAAAAGGTGAAAGAAAAGAAAGCCAATACTTTGTAAACATGTCTGGAAAGGTGTAACAGGAAAAGTATTCTAGTCATGAATAGCAAGCTTGAAGAGCTGCCCAAAGGGCCTGCTAGCAAAGCGGGCTTTACAATAATGCAAATATCCTCTAGATAGTGATGGTTTTGAAAACTTTCGTTGGGAGTACTACAAAATTATGGGAAATGTTCTATTATGGTCAATCGCAACTTTTCGACTTACAATATATTGATAAAAGCCGAGGAATTCAGATTGAAAACAGATGTGTAGAGATCTCTAATGGGCACTTCTATGTGAATCATAATTAATAGGACACTGGGAACCAGAATAAACCGAAGCAGTGCATAAAATACCAAATGGCACTTTTAAAACAGAAAATGTAAAATAAAAATCCGACATCCCCGTTCATAAGCTTTGCCTTATTTCGTACATATGTACCACAAAAAGCTCGCTTTGCGGCTTTGCCTTATTCATATTAATATTGTTAACAGTGAGAGAAAAAGTACAAAGAATCACTGAGAGAAAAACTTATACAACAACCCTACTACTGCCAGCTTGGACTGACCTTAGTCGGACAGGGTCGCAATGTTGCCAGGCAGTTTTCTAAATTTGACTTTACAGCAGCATAAAAGATCAGAGTCAATCACTCAATCTATACAGTATAGGGACTGAAAATTCATTAAGAATTCTAATTTTCAATAATGGATGTGTTTTGATGTCACACCATTTTAAGATCATGACCCCAAGATTTATGAATTTCACATTGTTTAAGACAAAATCCGGAAAACTCACATTGTGATACATGTATAAAATTATTCAAAGAAACCAAGTATTTGATTCATTAATCATTTGATACATCTGAATCTGAATCTGAATGTATATACTGCAGAACCTTCCGGTATGTACGCAGCGGGAGAGGAGCTAAGTAATTTAGTAGCACTGTTGGAGAGCTGTTTTAAAGCTCTGTACTGTCTCTGCGCACACAACGGCACTGTCTAAGTTATTCCAATCACTAATAGTCTTAGGAAAGAATGAATGTTCAAATTGGTCACTTTTTGAGATAATAGGTTTATAGCACTTATGATGGTTTATAGCTTGGTTTTCTACAATGTTTTTAGTTATGTAATTGTCTAGTTTCTTAGGTTTAATTAGGCGTTTACCACGAATAGGGGTCCGATAGGTATCAGTGGGCATAGCTGGCACCAGCCCCTCAGCCACCTTGAAGAAGAATGTCAATCGTGCCATTTTCCTTCTGTCTTGTAATGGAGGTAGCTCAAGTTGCTTCAACATCCTGGTAACGCAGCCTTGATCTCTTGATTTGTAATCCCCAGAAATAAATCTAGCAGCCTTCCGTTGGATCGATTCAAGCTTGTCTATATCTTTCTGTAGGAATGGGTCCCATACAATTGAGCTGTATTCAAGAGTGGATCTAACAAGGGATAAGTAAGCTGTTTTCCTGCAGAGTAGTGGGCAGTGTTTAAGGTTCCTCTTGAGGAATTCGAGTGTACAGCTGGCTTTGTTGGTAATCTTCATGATGTGGGTTCCAAATTTTAGATTGTCTGTAAAAGTGACACCAAGGTATGGATTTTCATCAACTTGTTGTAGGATATGATTGTCTAGTTGGTAAAAGTTAGTGGATCTGTTGTTGATACTCATAACATAACATTTTTTGGCATTGAATTTCATACCCCAAGTAGATGCCCAAGTTTCCAGTTATTTCAGGTCTGTTTGTAGTTGGAGATGGTCTTTTCTGGTTTTAATTTGCCGGTATAGGAGACAGTCATCGGCGAAGAGACGGACAGTTGATTTAACGCAGTCTGGTAAGTCATTTATATGGCAGAGGAAGGCTAGTGGTCCGAGGACAGTACCTTGCAGAACTCCTGAGTCTACTGTGACTGGTTCGGATGCTTCACCGTCTACCACTACTCTCATAGTTCTGTTGGTGAGAAAGTCTCGAAGCCACCGGTTAATGTTTCCGTCAATACCATATAATGACATCTTGTGAAGTAAGCTTTCATGAGGGACGGTATCGAAGGCTTTAGAGAAGTCCAATATCATGATATCTATCTGAGATTTATTGTCATGATGTTGTAGTAAATCATGAACTGTGGTGAGGAGCTGGGTTTCACATGAGTAGCCTGATCTGAAGCCGTGGTTTAGTGAGGTGAGGATGTTGTTTTGTTCAAGGTGGTCAAGGATGTGCTTGCAGATAATATGTTCTAGTAGTTTACAGGAGACTGATGTGAGTGAAACAGGACGATAATTTTCGGCAAGGTGTGAGTCGCCCTTCTTGAAGACAGGGGATATGTTTGCGCTTCGCCAATCTGAGGGTAGTTTACCACTGTCAATTGATGTTTGGAAAATATGTCGTAAAGTTGGTGCAAGGGTCTTGGCACAGGTTTTAAGGACAATGTTTGGAATTCCATCTGGACCTATGGCTTTGCTGGTTTCTATATTGTTAAGTAGTTTCTCTATGCCTTTAGTAGTTATTTTCAGTGGAGGTATTGGTGCTTTAGCTCTTAATCTTGTCGATGGTTTATTGTTGTTTCCTTTGGTAAAGACGGATCTGAATTGTTCTATAAGTATTTCTGCTTTTTCTTTGCTGCTATTGAATAGTTGTCCTTTTTTCTTTAGTGGTTGTACGCCAATATTGTCTTGTCTTCTTGATTTAATTAGCCGCCAGAAAGGTTTACTGTTTTTTTCTTCTAATCCTTTGATGATAGTACTGTTTATCGTACATGTACATACCACTAGCTTGCAAAAAGAAGTATAGAAAATAATCTGCTGTTGACAAAGTGCCGCAAAGATTTCACTAAAAGGTAATAATTTTAATTTCTATAGTTTTTCCCCTTTGTATTGGGAATTTTCTCCTTAGAATATTTTTTCATTTTAAATAAACATTTTTGGCTTGGGTAAATTTTACAAAAAGTTTTTTACCTGTTTGCTTAGATACTTCGTGACATCCTTGCAAATTGGAATATTTAATGAACATAAATCATTTAAAAGGTTTGACAAATTCCAACTACATGTTGATTTTTCCATTTTCTATGATTTTGGTACTTTTTTGACAGCAGCTTTAACCGGAAGCACGTGTGTTTGTTTTCATCTTCTGGATATATGCCTTCTTTCCCGTTCGTATACCGTACCCAAAAAATGCCAATTTCTTCAGATAATATCACAGGCAATAGAATTAGACATTGAGTTGTAAAATAAGTACTACCAATATTTTACTTAAACTAAGAACAAAAACATTACTGGTTGGAGAGATAACTCCGACACTAAATCACATATTTTTTGCAATATTTTAATTACCTTCCAGTATATTTTAAATATTGAACCACCTAAACAAAGTTCAGTTCAAAGACTTTACATTACACCACAAAAACTATGTATGAAAATGGAATCTGGTACTTCTTTAAGGTCTTGAATGAGGTATACAAAACATGGTCTTTTTACCCCACAACAGTAGATAAAGTCGACACTTAAATATTTAAGTAAAAAATGGCTGGAAAATCAGCATCAATAATTTATTTTTACATCTTATATGGTTTATCTATTTTTTGTAAATATTTAAACAATTTTTCAAAAATCTTTCCCAAGTCAGTGGCCTGTGGTCAATACATTTCTAACTACCTTACTGTAATTTAGTAAAAAGAACGTTTTGAAGCAGTTTTTGCTTACAAATGTTTAGGTTATTTGAAAAACATTAAAAAAAGATTCCAAATTATAACAAATCATCACATTCTGTCCTGTTCCTATACTGTTAGGTGATCATGTGCTTATTTGTTGAAAAACAAAGCTAAAACAATTATATTTATCAAGTGTCGGGGTTATCTATGCGTCGGAGTTATCTCTCCGACCAGTAATGAAAATACACTAATTACTATAAATATAGTCTCCTCCATTATCACGGAATAGTAGGACGGCATTTAACATATCCTATTTGCAATTCTCACGATTAAAAGAAATTACAAGTACAAATTCCAACATGTCTGCCGAAGAAGGTTGCTAATGACGCTTTTTACAAAAACTCGTGTTTTATTACATTTTCGTGAACATATTTATGTATTTAATTTGTATTGATGGTTTCATAAATTGAGGACTACAGTACAGTACCTAAATAACCATGAACCAACTTCATAAGAATGACAGACTATTCTCTACTACAGTACAGTACCTAAATAACCATGAACCAACTTCATAAGAATGACAGACTATTCTCTCCCTTACTAGTTCCTCTCCCTGACGGTTCTCTCCCTAACCGTTTCCTCCCCTGACGGTTCTCTCCCAAATTTGAAATATGCAGACAGTTCTCCCCCAATTTTTTTTCCATAAGTTATCATTTTAGTTTTGACTTAATCTAATATGAAATTAGGCAAAGCCTATGAACGGGGAAGTCGGTAAAAAATCCTTTCATTCTTTCCGTTTTAAAGGTGTCATTCGGTATTATAATACCCACTTCCGTTTTCACTCGGAACACTCGACGATTATTATTAATCCGAAAAGTTGAGATTTGTTCCGTTATCGGAATACACCGCCTTTTATCATTGAGTTACATTGTAAATGGCGGCGCCTAACTAGAACTGACACTGAAAATTTCATTGATAGGTATAGAATTCTATATTTTTTTTTAATTTGAATTTTTATTTAAATATACACGTGTAGTCTATAGCCGGGCAAGCCAAAGACTTTGACTTCCCCGTAATAATATTTCTTAATGAAGATTATTAAAAGAATGTGTTTGATATTAACTGCATTTTATGTTTTATGTTTATCAGCTGAAAAGTGTTTGTAAATTTAACACCTTTTTCAGTATTTTAATCCTATCAACACCTTTATTGTGAGAGATATAGATCAGTGGACAGTGATTGATATACACCTGTAATTAACATGTTCAGGTCTAGCTTGTGATGTTCATTTATTTGTTAAATAGTGAATAAGGTGGAAACAAATATGTTCTAGGAAATAAATATAAACAACAACTGGTATGCAAACACATTCCACATTTACTTTTTTACGAAATTGATTTAAACACATGTAGTCATTAACTTGAAACAATATATATAATACAAAATAACTAATATAATACTTATTCATCAACACCTTTTCACAGCTACTTTAATCTAATCAACACCAAGGAATTAATAAACACCTCAATTATCACTGACAGCAAACTTAGTGCATACATGTGTGTATTGAACTTTTTTCATTATAGAAGAAGAAAATTTTATTTAACTTATACATTTACATGTATCTCGTTATACATCAATACATATAAAACATTTTACAAAAGTTTAGCAATTAGAATTTATTAATTATTTTTTGCCTATAAATTTCATTTTTATTTATTAAAAAAAATAAATAATAATAATATCTTATGATTATCCTAATCAAGTAAATTATTCATTAATTATTTTCAATGACTAAACACATTAAAAAGTATACATTACATCTAATTAAAAAATCAGAATAATTAACTAATATCATCATTGATCAATTATTATTATATGTTAAAAAAAAGTTTTTCTAATTCAATTTATATCAATTGATAATAAAGTTACAAATTTATTAAACATCTAAATACTTCAATAAAATATTTTTTCTCTAATTTATATTAATATTTGATAATAAACTTACTGATTTATTGTTGCTGATGATGTTAACAAAATTGAAACTTGAATTAAACATCAGAATACTTCATTAAAGTATTTTTCTCTCTCATTTATTACAATTTATAATAAACGTACCCATTTATTTAACATCTAAACACTTCAATTAAATCTCTTTTTTTCTAATTTATATCAATTTATAATAAACTTACCCATTTATTTATCATCTAAATACTTTAATAATAATGTAATTATAAAAATAACAATGGGGAGGAACTGTCTTCTAATTTGCAAATATGCAGACAGTTCTCCCCCAAAATAGGGAGAGAACCGTCAGGGAGGAAACGTCAGGGGAGGAACTGGTAAGGGAGAGAATAGTCTGACTACCCTTCAGAATGTCATAATTATACCTTGTTAATTGTTTTGATTGCTTCATGTAGATTCCTGTTCTAGCACTTCAGGTTTCAAAAAAAATTAATTTGTATGTAGCTTTTTAGCAATTTTTTCATCTATTGCGACATTAAAAAGCCCTGCCACAGTATAAAACGAATAAGCAGAAGACTTTAAACTGCTGTACAATAGACATCTTGTAGATAAAATTTGAAATAGGTATTCCTCATACCCTTTTTTAAACTGACAGGGTATGCTGTAGGAACTGCTGTACGGAAATTCCATCATTCCCAATATCGGTGAAAGAACCTAAAAAATCTTCATGGACCCGGCCTTTGACTTTATTTCAATAAGCCCAATATCAGCATAATATGAACTAATGTGCTACTTTTTAGTGACTTATATTCTATATATAATGTTTTATGTTCTATATATAATGAAATTTCATTTATAAAATAAAAAAAGGAAATTAAGAGATAATTAAATAAAGAAATAAGAAGAATTAATTATAAGTTTTGAAATCATGTCGGTTAAACTGTTCTATATATGCTCTGACTTGATTTGCTGTTTTAATATATGAATGTCTGTACTTTAAGTGGTTTGCGTGAATTACGTCATACAAGGTCTCATTTAGCTTCTATCCTGTGTCATGGTCAGCAGATAGGTCTCTGTAAATGATGTTTTGCAATTGAATAGACTGTAATAGTATTTTGATACTTTAAATGGTATAGAGTGATGTTGAAATATTTGTTTTATCAAATGATGCACAAAAATTAATTTGCTAATTTAAACAAGGTTAAACAAATTAGTGTTATTTTGGTAAGGTTTCATAATAGGTTTGATCCACAACTTTAATGGTGCAACAGATGAAAGAACAAATTGTTAAGAAGTGGCATATAAAATTTCGGAAGCCAGAACTACACTCATATATGCTAAATTTTTCACCAAATTATAGCTCTTTGAAAAAAGACATGATCTCCCCACCCCCCACTCATAGTTTACCTATAATAACCTGCTTTTTGGTGTCATTCACTCCCCATTTAAGTTCAATGTATATTCTATTACAAATGTAATTGCGAGATTTCAAAGATTGCTCAAATTTTTTAACTTGTGCTTGAAAATCCTGAATCTAAATTAATGACCTTTATCAAAAATTGTAAAAATTCCAGTTGTGGCTTTTAATGCGTAGGACTTTTCCCACAGTTTTTGGTGCAAAACAAAACCTTGGAATTAGGAATATTGGAAATTTATAACAGTTTCTATTCCTGTATCTCCTCAAATGACTGATAAGTGTCTACTTTATGCATTTCTGATAGAGCATTTTCTTCATGAGATAGATTTTATTTTCATTTGATTACTGGTGGCTTATGACCAAAATAAGAGTAACCATCAAAATAAATAAAGATATCTGTTATTTAAAGAAAACAAATCTATTTGGATAAAATTTAATATTTGTGTTTATTATTGTTTCAGATGTCCCTCCTTTGGAGGATATGTCAGAATTGATACAACAAGTTGATGCCTTGCGAGAACTTAAATTCAAACAGCAAAATAAATCACAAACACAGGTAAAGTATTTGTATATTGTATTTGTATAGTTCAGTGTAATCTGATAATTTGATTGACTGCAATTGTTTATTTATATTTCATAATCTTGTCGGTTTAAGTTAACAGATATAAGTGAATGAAATAAATGTACAATAACTACATACAGCTGTCTCAAGTCATTTTCATATTTATTTTTTGAATCCTCTTCTGGTATCCTCTTGTCTGACCATCCAAGCAGCTGTCTGGTTTGTGCAAGACAAAACTCTGCTTGCAAGTATCAACATAAATTATAAGATAGATCTCATTGAGAAAAAAGTGCATTATTTAAGAACAAGAAAGTTATCTCTTTTATAATTTCAGTGTTATTTTTCTTTGCAGTTTTTCACATTTTTTTATCTGGACATAACTCATAAAGCGTTGGTGGTATCAGTTTAACTTTAAACTTAATAGATGAAGAGTTTAACCCTTTCCCCCATGAGCATATTGTGAAAAATGGCCGTTTTCACTGAAAAGCCTCCTGTTACAAGTTCAAACTGCTATGAAACTATGAAAAATGCTTCAATACTAATCAAACTTGGCACAAATGTTGACTGGACCATTGCCTTTGTGACGACATGCTCAGTCTTAAATTTCCTGTTACCATGGCAACGAGGGGTCATCTCAAAATTGCCAAAAATCACTATTTTGCCTCGATTTTTTCCATCAAAATTTATTTCAAAGTGCTGCAACTTCTCAAGGGATTGAGATAGAGTCAAAGGCTTTTCAGCGTTGGTTACAGGTTAAATTATGATCAACCTGGGGTCATTTTTAGCCTCTCACAAGTCCAAAATTTTCTTGGCGATGAGGGGGACTCCGCCCCCCCCTTCAAACCCCCCTAACAGAAGGGGGCACATCCCCCTTCTGACAACCCCCTGATGTATCTTTTGTATGGGGGCGGCGCCGAAAAAGTGCTCATTTTTTTAAGCAACATTTCTCAAACGAAAACATGTGTTTGGGGCCCAAATAGGACATTTTTCCACTATTTGAGGCCTAAAAAAAGGGGGGTCGAAAGTGCGTTGTTTCGCGTATATATGAGGTAAAGGGTCTTGATATGAGGTAAAAACGATCTTCTGCATAACTTTGAAGTCATCACCCTTTGTAATATTTCATACTTATAATCTAGAGAATATCTTTGAGTCAATATGATGTCTCAACATGTAGCTTGAAAAATATCTTTTTGTGTTGACAGAGTGGCATATAAGGGTATCTTTAAGCCAGGACAATGGCAGTTCTAAGTTTTCATGTCAGTTGACTTCTTTTCTTTATAGTCAAAGATCTCACAAAATGGACATGGGGATTCAAGTAAAATCAAAGAAAAAATACCTGAACCAAAGAAAAAAGAAAATAAAAAGACAATTGAGCAAACACAGGTGCAAAGAAGTGAAAAATTAGACAGTGCTAAGCCTGTTAACACTAGTAGTACATCTACAAATAAAACTACACAGAAAAGTAGTTCCTCTTCATCATTTGGGGGTATGAAAAAGGGATTCTTGTTTGGTGGTGCTCCAAAATCTAAATCTACACAGGAAACTAAATCAAGTGGTGTAAACAAATCACAGACTAGTGAAAATGGAAGTAAACAGTCAAAAGCTGGAGGAAAAAAAACTCTTGAAGACATTCCATTTTTGAGAAAAAATGAAGAAAAGAAATCAGATGAACTAAGATTTTCTGAGGTGCAAGAGGCTATGGAGAAAACAAACAGTAAACTCTTGGAAAACAAAGGTAAGAATTCAATTGACGGATTCCCAGCTGACACTTTTGTGCTGCCTGAACATGGTTTGTATTGTTTGCTATTCAGTCAGTACAAATGTAACTATTTTAACATTTTCCCTTTAAATGATGAATGGTTTGGTCAAGACTGAAAAATGGACTAGTCCATTTAAAATGTTTAGATTGATATGGGTTTAAAAAAATAAATTGAAGCAATTCCAAAGAATAATGTGAACAGAAATGTGAGCATAACATTGAAAATAGATTGATAAAAGTTAAGTCTTTCATGAATATTTACTAATTACAAAATGTCATTGTTTAATTCTGTAAATCTGTTTGTGTAATCATTTAAAGGATTTTTCTTCAACTTTATTTCTTTTCCAGAATGGGTCACAGATGATTTATTAAATAATCTTGAGAAGAATGAAAAGCTCACAAAAAGACTACAGGTATTATATTATTTTGGAATTAAAATTAGTTATTTCATTATCATTTCATTAAAACTTTAAAAAAATGTTGAAGTAAAAAATGATTATAACAGAAAAATGATGTAGTTTACACTTTAGCCTACAGGAAGTTGATAGTTCTTCCTTGGTCGAAACTAATGAATGTAGGGGCACCACCAGTATAGCTTGAAAACAAATGAATTTTACAGATTGGCTGTGAATTTTGGTGGAAGTGTGTTTAAGTATTTATTACATTTTATTGGCATAGATTATATATTACTACAGGCATACACTATATTATATACAAAGTTTGAAAACACAACAAACATAGTTTTTAGCTCACCTGAGCATGCTCATGGTGAGCTTTTAGGATCGATGATTGTCCGTCGTCCGTCCGTTCACATTTTGTTGTTAACACTCTAGCGGTCACAGTTTTGCCTCAATCATCATCAAACTTGGTCAGGATGTTTGTCTAGGTGATAGCTTGGATGAGTTCGAACATGGGTCATCTCGGATGAAAAAGTAGGTCATCGGAGCTAAAAATAGAAAAACTTTGTTAACACTCTAGCGGTCACATTTTGGCATCAATCATCATCAAACTTTGTCAGGAAGCTTGTCTAGGTGATAGCTCGGATGAGTTCGAACATGGGTCATCTCTGATGAAAAAGAAGGTCACTGGAGCTAAAAATAGAAAAACCTTGTTAACACTCTAGCGGTCACATTTTTGCATCAATCATCATCAAACTTGGTCAGGATGCTTGTCTAAGTAATAGCTTGGATGAGTTCGAACATGGGTCAACTCGGATGAAAAAGTAGGTCACCGGAGCTAAAAATAGAAAACTTTGTTAACACACTAGCGGTCACATTTTTGCCTCAATCATCATCAAACTTGGTCAGGATGCTTGTCTAGGTGATAGCTTGCATGAGTTCGAACATGGGTCATCTCAGATGAAAAACTAGGTCACCGGAGCTAAAAATAGAAAAACCTTGTTAACACTCCAGCGGTCACATTTTTGCCTCAATCATCATCAAACTTGGTCAGGATGCTTATCTATTTGATAGCTTGGATGAGTTCGAACATGGGTCACCTCGGATGAAAAACTAGGTCACAAGAGCTAAAAATAGAAAAACTTTGTAAACACTCTAGCGGTCACAATTTTGCCTCAATCATCATCAAACTTGGTCAGGATGTTTGTCTAGTTGATAGCTTGGATGAGTTCGAACATTGGTCATCTCGGATGAAAAACTAGGTCACAGGAGCTAAAAATAGAAAAATATTGTTAACACTCTAGTGGCTACTGTTTTGATCCAAATATCCTGTAAATTGGTCTGAAAGTTTGTTTTGATGATTTCTAAGTCAAGTTCGAACATGGGTCATCTTGGATGAAAAACTAGGTCACACCACCCAAATATTGAAAAACCTTGTTAACATTCTAGTGGTCATATTTTCGACTCAATTATCATCAAACTTGGTCAGGATGCTTGTCTAGGTAATTGCTCGGATGAGTTCGAAATCGCATGTGAAACTAGGTCACCGCAGCAAAAAATAGAAAAATCTTGTTAACACTCTAGTTGCTACTGTTCTGATCCAAGTATCCTGGAAATTGGTCTGAAAGTTTGTTTTGATGATTTCTAGGTCAAGTTTGAATATGGGTCACCTGGGTAAAAAACTAGGTCACACTGCTCAAATATGGATAATCCTTGTTAATACTGTAGTGGTCACATTTTTGACTCACCTGTCATGAGACTTGGTCAGATTGCTTGTCTAGGTAATTGTTTGGATGAGTTTGATGGGTCAGGTGAGCGATCTAGGGCCATCATGGCCCTCTTGTTTAGATATAGTTAAAAAAATATGTTATTCTGTTGATTTGTACCTGACTAAATATATATTTTATTCTTGTCGATGAGTGACACAAATAAACAATACATGATTTCCTTAGTTCAGTATCTCATAAATAAGTCAGATATGTTTTATGATAAATTAATGAATATAATTATCAAGTATTGTTGATATGAATTATTTTGGTAGAAAGCTGCTTTTATGGAAGATGATAATCTACTGTCATTTATTTTTAACAGGATCCTACATTTATTCAAGCAATAGGAGAGTTTCAGAAGAACCCTACTGAAGCGCTTAAGAAGTATGGAGACAACCCAGAAGTACAGGAATTCTTCAAGGACTTCTGTGGTTTGATGGGTAATAAAAAAAATTTGTTTATTTTATTTGAAAATTTTTTTTAAAAAATAACTAAGAACACATGGAATTAATAACAACCAAATGTTATCTTATATTAAACAGAAGTCTCTCCAATATCTAAGTGATATAAAAAAGGAATAACTGATTTTAAAATTTATAATTTTCTAGTTGGACAGTGAATGAAAAGTTAAACTTCTCTGACTGAGTGGTTAAGGATTTTCAATACTTGAACCTTACTGCAATTGGTTTGAATTTTGCCACAGACATCAACGTTTTTATTGTTGAAAATGAGTGTTTGTAGATTATAGTTTGTCCAGGGATGTTTTCCAAGATTTTGGAAACATGACCCATACCCATGGAATTGGGAATTTTAGCGGTGTTTTGTTAAAAATTGGGAAAAAATGCATGACTGAAATTTTGCAGTGATTAAATGGATGCAAACAATTACTGGCTATGATGGCATCTTCAAACATTTAAGCACTAATACAGTAAAGAAGCCTTTATTTGCAAATATTTTAAAAATTTTATTCAATATTTTTATTTTGTAACTTTTAATTGGGAATTTTTTCCTGTGGATTGGGAAAATAATATAACATTTTCAATTGGGAATATGACCCAATAACGGCTATAAAATAAGCCAAAAAAAATCCCTGTTGTCAGCAGGTTAACTTTGACATACACCTGTGGTTGTAATAATTATGCTCAGCAAATAGGTGACAGGGATTATAGCCCTTTGATATAGTAAATTTAGATGCAAATGTGTGCAGTGGTGTTGGTATTTTTCACTCCGGAAAGTAATCCATATTATATTTACCAGAGCTCAGTTCAGCCACCACATCGTTGCTGGGCATGCTGCCAAACAGTTTACCAGTACTAGTTGCCTTCACTTCCGCAAGGAACTGATAACTTCTGTACATGCCAGAGCAGAGGTACAGGGCAAATGTCTGTAGAAAAGATTTCATGATCAATCACAATGAAAGTGACCTGCACCATCTGGGAATCAAACCTGGGTCGCCAGATTCATAGTCTAACACTCTACCTATTTAGGAAATTGGACGGCTTAAATGTGTGCCTAACTTTTAATAACTTTTCTCTTGTTTGGCAGGATATTTGGCAGTATGTAACAGCTTCTTGTTAGTCCCCTACCGGTTTAACCGGAGGGGACTTTAGGTTTACCCTCCGTCCGTCTGTCCGGACTGACGGACGTCCGTCCGTCAGTCCATCCACAAAACTGGATCCCGCGATAACACAAAAAGTACTAAAAATATTTTTATGAAACTTGATATATGGATAGATGGCAGTATGGAGATTATGCACGTGTTTTTCTTTTGTTCCTATGTTGAAAATTCTGGTTGCTATGGCAACAAATAGTCTGAAAATATGGCAAATTTAACACATAAACTGGATCCAGTGATAACTCAAAAAGTACTGAAAATATTTTTATGAAACTTGGTATATGGGTAGATGGCAGTCTGGAGATAATGCACAACTTTTTCTTTTCTTCCTATGTTGAAAATTCTGGTTGCTATGGCAACAAATAGCCTGAATTTCAAGATTTCTGATTTAAATTTTTCAGCTTTTTCACTTTAAGTTCTTTATTTCTTAAGGTGTTTACTTCAAACTTTAAAAATAAGTTTCTGGTCATCAACCACATCATATGTGACAAGGTTTACAACTCTAGCACAAAAATTATCAGAATTACCTCCCTTGAACTTAGAATTTTTATGGAAAAAAAAAAGTTGTCTTTTTTAAATAACTTCTTTATTTCCTAATGTATCTACTTCATATATATGTTTCTTATTATCACTCAACATTTTTTAGAAGGTTAAATAGTTATACTCTAGCAAGACTATTTCCAGAATTATGTGCCCCCTTGAACTTAGATTTTTTCCGCGAAACTGGAATTTTTACTCCAACTTCTTCAATCATTATAGGATTTAGTTTAAAAACCCACAGCGTAATAATTTGACAAGGTTGTATAAACATAATTTCCTTACTAGGCAGGGAAACTTAACACATTACTGTGATATAGACAAACTTAGAACTCAAAAGATTTAAGTTCATTCATGTCATTCATTCACTGGTAATTTTGAATGGCCACTGGCCCATCAGAATATTGCTGGGGTTATAACCGGTAGGGGACTTATGGATTGCTTGCAATACTATGATAATTGCTTGTTCATATAGGGGCAGCTGAGGTATTTTTTTTCCACCAGTGTAAGTGTGATGTTATAAAAATAAAGCAATATCTCTGTTTTTGCTATTTAATCATAAGACTATTTAATCTTTACATATTTAATGTTTTGCTCCTTTGTACAGGAGACCATTTCAACAAACTCAGTGATAAGCAGGATGTTTCCAAACAGGATGTTTCCAAACAAAGTTCTGTCCCTTCTCAGCCTAAGGTAGTGACAGAAAGTGGTGCAGATATGCAGGTGAGGAGCAGTACAAACCCGAACCAACCTACGGCAGCAGACGAAGCTAAGATGCAGGAGATCTTGGCAGATCCAGAAATTAGAGACATTCTAGTTGATCCTCAAATACAAGATCTGTTTCAACATTTAAGAAATGATCCAGTGAAAGGACAAAGGTATAAACATGATATATTACCAGAGCAAGATTGTACTATTGTATGATTTCTTTAAATAATATAATACAGTATACATTATAAGTTTAGCAATCTTTTACCATGTTTCAACTGTTTGCATTGGCTTTGGGGTAGCACCTAGCTATGGTTTGGCAAGTAATTTCAGTTCTTTTCACCTGTTAAAACTCAATGCAGGTCTTATGGGTCACAATTAATTCATAATAGATAAAGGCATTTCTTTTTATGGAATTTTTCAATTATATCTCTTGTTAAAATGTTTTAAAAAAAACTGCTGGTGATAGCTTAACATGCAATTCCTTCCAAACCTTTCAAGCTATTGAATAGGAACTCCATTATGTTTTCATTGTCATAATTAAATTGTCAAACAAGACCCATAAGTCTTACTTAGCATAGACTAATGCTTACTTATACATTATTGTTAACTTAAAATATTGATATTAACGTTTTATGCATAAGTTGAAGATATTCTTTTGAATCTTCATACATGTCTTCAGAGCCACGGATCTGGTTGACTGACATAGGTCAATGACTCAGATGTCATAGAATTTATCAAATTATTCTTCCGTGTGAACAGAGATATTTGTTGCAGTGATTCACTTTCTTGACATAAGAGCATTGTTACAGATGTTGATATCCTTTGGTTTTCAGATTTTAACGTACCTCCACTGAGGTCCATAAGCCTTTAAAACATAGAATTTGTAAATCTTACACATGGATCAGCTGAGACATCTAAAACGGAAAAAAAATATGCAAAAGATGATAAAAAAAAAATTTCAGATTAAATTTGATAATTGATTTTTTGTGCAGTTTTGTCTTTTACAGCATTTAAAATCTTTTCATCTTTGGGTCATTTTGCACAGGTTAAAATAGTTATTATACCCCTGAAACAAAGTTTGGGGGGTATAGTGGAGTCACTCGGTGGTCGGTCGGTTGGTCGGTCCAGCCGCCCGTTGCATTTTCCTTGTCTTGAGCATAACTTGAAGACTAACGGTTGGAATTCAATACAACTTCATACAATGGTCAAGCACATTGAGAGAAAGTGCAGTGCACAAGAACCATAACTCCATCTTCACTAATTACAGAGTTATTGCCCTTTGTTACTTTTCCTTGTCATGGGCATAACTTGAAAACTATAGGTTGGAATTCAAAAAATCTTCAAACAATGGTCAAGCAAAATAAGGGGAAGTGCAGTGCACAAGAACCATAACTCTATCTTAAGTAGTTACAGAGTTATTGCCCTTTGTTACTTTTCCATTGCTTTCTTTTGTCTGGAACATAACTTGAAGACTAATGGTTGGAATTCAATTTAGCTTCAAACAATGGTCAAACACATTAAGAGGAAGTGCAGTGCACAAGAACCATAACTCCATCTTCACTAATTACAGAGTTATTGCCCTTTGTTTATTTTCCTTTTCAGGAGAAAAAACTTGATAAGAACTGGTTGGAATTCAATTTAACTTCATACAATGGTCAAGCACATTGAGAGGAAGTGCAGTGCACAAAAACCATAACTCTATCTAAAGTAATTACAGAGTTATTGCCCTTTGTTACTTTTCCATTGCTTTTTTGTCCAGAGCATAAAATGAAAACTACTAGTTGGAATTCAATACAACTTCATACAATTATCAAGCACATTGAGAGGATGTGCAGTGCATAAGAACCATAACTCCATCTTGACAAATTGCAGAGTTATTGGCCTTTGGTACTTTTCCTTGTCTAGAGCATAACTTGAAAAGTACTGGTTAGAATTCAAAACAACTTCATTCAATGGTCAAGCACAATAAGAGGAAGTGCAGTGCTTAAGAATCATAACTCTGTCCAGAGTAATTATAGTGTTATTGCCCTTTGTGACTTTTCCATTGCTTTTTTTTTGTCCAGAGCATAACTTGAAAACTACTAGTTGGAATTCAATACCATTTTATACAATGGTCAAGTTTATTGAGAGAAAGCGCAGTGCATAGAAACAATAACTCTTTCTTGATTCATTTAAGAGTTTTTGCCCTTTGTTACTTTTTATTGTCCAGTGCATAACTTGGAATTCAAAGAAACTTCATACAATGGTCAAGGGCAGTGAGATGAAGGGCAGTGCACAAGAACCATAACTCTGTTTGGACTAATTACAGATATTGCCCTTTGTTCCTTTTTTGTTCAGTGCATAACTTGAAACCTAGTAGTTTGAATTCAATTTAACTTCATACAATGGTCAAGCGCAATGAGAGGAAGTGCAGTGTACAATAACCATAACTCCATCTTAAGTATTTGTAGAGCTATTCCCCTTTGTTCCTCTTCTTTGTCTGGTGCATAACTTAAAAACTAATTCAATTCAACTTCATACAATGGTCAAGCGCAATGAGAGGAAGTGAAGTGCTCAAGAAGCATAACTCTTTCTGGACTTATTACAGAGTAATTCAATAAAACTTCATGAATGGTCAACCACATTGAAAGGAAATGCAACATACAATAACCACAACTATCATTAATTGCACACAACCATAACTCTATATTTCAATTCTTTTGCAAGGTATTCTGTTACTAGTAACTTCCTCATTTCCGAAGCAGACTTGGGGGAGGGGGGTATTAATCACATGTAGTGATAGTTCTACATCTATAAAATGGAGTGACAAATGATCTGAAATTTTGTAAACAAGTTATTGGTCTGATATACAACAAATATTACACAAATTTCAAAAAAATATTGTTATCTTTCAATGTCAAAAAAATCCTCAGCTGATGCCCTTTAAATTTAAGGACTAATGGGTTTTAAACAATTTGTAGAAATTCAATTTTTATTCATTTTTTTTCAGACTTCTTCAAACAGCTAGTGGAGAATTACGTGCAAAGATCCATCGTTTAGTACAAGCGGGTCTATTACAGTTTCAGCAAACTTGACAGTAATATTGACAGCAAATATAGTAATGTTGACAGCAAATATGACAGTAATGTTGACAGCAAATATAGTAATGTTAACAGTAAAATGTTTTGTAATGTTGAGAGCAGATATGACATTCGATAGCAAGCATGACATTGATGTCAATGGCAAAATTGGCATTAATGTCAATAGCAAACAAAGTCATGTTGGTGTTGACAGCAAACTTGATATTTATAATTTATATTTACAGCTAATTTAACAGTGTTATAAACAGCAATTTTGACAGTGATGCTGGCAGTGGGTGATATATACTTGACAAGTTATTTAGCAATAAGTGACTTTATCTTTTTCAATTATGATAAACCTATCATGTAAAAGTTAAAAGATAAACTGCTGTCCAAATAAGTTCTCAAAAGTTAAAGGTTTTAAGTAATTAATACAATCATCTAATGATATTTTACTATGTTATTGAACAAAATTAGATGAAGATTTGATATAGGAGAATTGTTTATAAAAGTTAATTTATTTAATGATTCAGAAATCTGATTATAGTTTGGTTATACATTTGTAGCCGTCAACAGTCAACTTTGTGTTGATTAGTTGTTGATGGCACTATATTACAAGAGTACTACACACCAGACTTTTTTTGACTTAAACTAGAGAGAACATTTAGTTTACTTACTTTTCAATGAAAGGTTGAAGATACAGCTCTATTTGTGTTGGTTTTAATCTGTTTATCACATGTATCAATAGCCTCTGAAACATCTACAATACAAATATACATAAATTTGCAGTCGTTATTGCGTGGTATTATATATTACATTCAGTGCATAATTTGGAAAATATTAATATTAAGTAACAAATAAAAACATCAGATTATATTCACTAACAATCATATGAAGTAATTTACTTATTCAGTGTCTCACAAAATTATTCTTTAAGACTTTATTATACATAATATTAGACACTGATCTTACTGAAAAATATCACATATGAAAGTAAAGATGTCACTTGATATGGGATAAACATTCATCTAAAATGTTTTTGGAATATATGTACATGTACATATGTATTAATGATTTATATCAATATTATGTTACTCTTCCATTGCAATATATTTCATGGTGTAAAGATATGATACCAATAATAAAGCTCTTTTCAAAGGCTAACATTGAGATTTTTTTTATGCACATTGACACAACCTTAATGTTATTTACTTAGTACCATATTGTGACAAACTGGCTGTCAATTTACAGTCTGTGCGAAAGTCTGTCGGTCCTCGGACCTCGCCAACTAAAAATCAGGAGGGCCGAGATAAATTTCGATACAGTCAGTCCTCATGTCTGAATAAAATTTCAGCCAGTTTAACAATTTTTGACCTTCTAAAATATGCAAAACTTCCAAGATCGATCTTTTTAGCTCACCTTTCACAAAGTGACAGGGTGAGCTTTTGTGATCGCTTTTCATCCGGCGTCCGTCCGTCGTCCATAAAATTTTGCTTTAAATGACATCTCCTCATAAACCACTAAGCCAATTTCATCCAAACTTCACAGGAATGTTCCTTTGGTGGTCACCTTTAAAAATTGTTCAAAGAATTTAATTCCATGCAGAACTCTGGTTGCCATGGCAACCCAAAAGAAAAATCTTTAAATATCTTCTTTTAAACAACTCTAAGAGCTTGAGCTTAGATATTTGGCATGAAACATCTTCTTGTGAGTGTCTACCAAGTTTGTTCAAATAAAAGCCCTGGGGTCAAAATTAGCCCCGCCCCAGGGGGTCATTGATTTTCCCTATATGCATATAGTAAAAACTTTAAAAATCTTCTTTTAAAGAACCCAAAGAGCTAGAGCTAAGATATTTAGCATGAAACATCTAATGAGTGTCTACCAAGTTTGTTCAAATAAAAGCCCCGGGGTCAAAATTGGCCCTGCCTCAGGGGGTCATTGATTTTCCCTATATCTATATAGTAAAAACTTAAAAAATCTTCTTTTAAAGAACCCAAATAGCTAGAGTTTAGGTATTAAGCATGAAACATCTTCTAGTGAGTGTCTACAAAGTTTGTTCAAATAAAAGCCCTGGGTCAAAATTGGCCCCGCCCCGGGGGTCATTGATTTTCCTTATATGTGTATAGCAAAAACTTAAAAAATCTTCTTTTAAAAACCCAATGAGCTAGAGTTTAGATTTTAAGCATGAAACATCTTCTAGTGAGTGTCTATAAAGTTTGTTCAAATAAAAGCCCTGGGGTCAAAATTGGCCCTGCCCCGGGGGTCATTGATTTTCCTTATATGTGTATAGCAAAAACTTAGAAATCTTCTTTGAAAAAAACCCAAATAGCTAGAGTTTAGATATTAAGCATGAAACATCTTCTAGTAAATATCTACAAAGTTTGTTCAAATAAAAGCCCTGGGGTCAAAACTGGCCCCGTCCCAGGGGTGTCATTGTTTTTAACTATATGTGTATAGTAAAAACTTAAAAAATCTTCTTTTAAAAAACCCAATGAGCTTGAACTTAGATGTTTAGCACGAAACATCTTCTTATGGGTGTCAACCAAGTTTGTTCAAATAACCCTTGGGTTAAAATTGGCCCTGACGGGGAGGGGGGGGTTGGGCTGGGGATGGCCTATATACAGGTGAGCGACCTCAGGGCCATCATGGCCTTCTTGTTTCATTTTTGCTTGTATTCACAGACCCAGATAACCAAAATCTCCGCAAGATACAACCAGTATCAGAATTTAAAATAGCCCTTGCCCTTTGCCTTCTTTCATATACATGTAGTTTCCATTGTATATTGACAGTCAAAGTTTACACAACATGACAGGAAATGCAATTCACTAATTCGAAAACCTCGCTTAACGACGTTAACGACGTTTTCTGGTACTTTTTGTACATAGCTCAGGGGAATTCACCTAACGGAGTGTAATAGCGAACTCGATGTTTTCGGCCTTTTTTTAATTAAATTGAAATAAAACAGTTATTTCCTTATAAGAAAATAATTAAATATCATAACTAATAATTATTTATATGCTTCAACTCAAGTTTGCTCAGATCTCAACAGATTATATACTCTCCGCTTTGTCTAATTGAAATATGCTGATTTCATATATTTTATTCCTTTATAGTTTATATTTGTTTACAAGATCATGAATGACATATTTTAGCGATGACAAGAAGGGAAACGCCTTCCAAAGTCAGGGATTCCTGGAACATAATTATTTACACTTGGTATAATAATTTAGCACAGTTTTTCACATCACATCAGTTGCACGAAATTTAGTTTGTACATTTGTAGAGAAATCTGCCATTTCGCACAATATCTAGGCATTTGTTATATATGTAATGTGACATCATTTGATTACGGACTGCGACAGCCGCAAGATGCTCGTGCGACATACCAGCGGTCCTCGCAAGACAAACGCAAAATATTTTTACATGAAAATCCCTAGAAATCGCGAAGCTGCTGTACGATTGTCTTACGACAGTCTTAAGACGTAAAAAATCTGTCAAAAAATCACAGAAATAATGTGCATGTTGAGAAATCAGTCTGCGACGTTGCGGCAAACTTGCGAATTCGTACGAATATCTTGCGACTCCCTCATGGAACACAGCCATTTTTGTCAAGGCTGACGTAAAGGGCTGATGTTATAGAGCCTTAAAGGTAATTGCGTTTAATACATAGGCGATCACCTAACTAAAGTACTTGTAGATCTGAAAATGCGCACACCTGCAGCATGAGGCAAAAAGTTGAATAAATTTTGCTGTATTTACACTTTGACACAGAGACTTATATACCCAAAACAGTTGGTATTTTTATTTATTTTTTATACATTCAGGAACATAGCACATGATCATACAGTTAAGAACAAACATATATAACTATATATATAAAATGAGATCATAAAACAGCATAAAAGAGCACACTTTTATCATGAAAAACAATAAGATGTACTATGCACCTATAGATAGGCAATTAAGCTAAAAGCTTATTTCGAATGGGGTCCATAGAACTAAAAAATACATAACTACAACCGTTTCCCTATAAAAAAAACAACTAAAACTAACAAGATATTTGTTTTAAAAGGAAATAAACATATAAAAGTATGCCATTTTCTTAAATAAATCTTATATCACTATCACAGACAATATTGGATCACAGTCCCTAACATATATTATTGGATCACAGTGCCTAACATATATTATTGGATCACTGTCCCTAACATATATTATTGGATCACTGTCCCTAACATATATTATTGGATCACAGTGCCTAACATATATTATTGGATCACAGTGCCTAACATATATTATTGGATCACAGTCCCTAACATATATTAGTAGTACACATATACATCTTCTGCTTGACTTTTACAGCTGTCTAGTAGAACTTTTTCACAGATTTTTTTCTTAATACTATGACCATTTCATGTAACAGTCAATCTAATTTTATCAAATTTGGTAGGTAAAATGACACTTATTTGTCGAATGAAAACATTTATATCAAACTGTATGTTGTTTTCAGCCAAAATAAGGCGGAGAGTTTTGCACTGTACTCTCAAAATACAACCTATATTGAGCTGAGAAAATAAATACACTATAACAACACAATATATAAATAAGTCTATTTCCTGTTAACGCAAGAAACGTTCAAGTTAAAATATATAGGCCCCCCAAGAAAGACACAGTGATCGGAAGTAACATGTAACATGTGCTTGTTATTGCAAGACAGGGTACACATTGAATTGTATAGGCTCGCAAGACAGGGTACAATGATTTCGTTTATCTTCTGCCATGTTGAAATCCGGTTTTGATTTTATAAAATGACTTACAGAAATTTAATGTAGACATCACCATTGATTAAAACCACCTACCTTGATTTTTTCAAAGTTTGTGTGCACATTGTGCTTGAGCAGGCGATGTATTATATTATATAAACAATTATATTTAATGTTTGTTTTGCACATGCATAATATTAACATATTAATGATATTATTACCAACCACAAAAAGGAAAAAAAGAAAGCAATGGCCCAGAGGTATCCCTATCAAACTGGGGATCCTGCCGGATATATGTATGTATACTCTATGTATTTAAAGCAAAGTTAACTACAGTAGAATCCCTACTAAAGACCACCTCGGATTTAAGACCACCCCACTTTTAAGGCCAGTTTTAAAAAGAACGGAATTTTCTGTTCTTTATGTCAATGGTTACATGATCCAGAATTAAGACCACCTCACTTATCCACATTTAAGACCACCAAATTCAGTCCGTTTTCCTTATTTTGTTCTTTATTTGACCTCACTATTGAGACCACTGATATTAAAATCAACACCTTCCTAGATCTTAAATCTGTTGTTATGTTGTTATTACTTAGGCATGACACTTGATTACACAAGGTGTCAAAAACTGTTATTTATGAGATATTTAATGAAAAAAGGTGAGAATGTTAATTTCATAGTGGTTTAATGTTGCTTTATGCACATTTGTTTTGTGAAGAAATAAAGTCTGATATGATATGTGAATTATGTACCTCATACAATAATCATTATTGAAACCAGAAGAAAGAAAATTTGATATTAAATTTCTTCAGAAATATGTTTTCTTCCCATCAGATGTAACATTATAAAATATATACTTTTATATTGTATTTGCAGGTTAAGATACATATTGTTTGTTCATACAAAATGACTAAAATAGGCCCTGGTCATATTGTGTGTAAGCAATGATAAGAATATCCACAATTAAGACCACCCCGCAATTAAGACCACTTTGGTCTAGTCCTGATGGTGGCCTTAATTGAGGGTTTTTACTGTATTTTAAATGTTGCGCCATATTTGAAAATCTATGTATCTGCGCTAATTTGCACGCAAATTTAACCACAACTTAAGCGATTAAGATAAATTACCTCAAGTACATTACACTGTTTAAGGTTTTAATTTGTTTATCTTTGCCTAATGCCCTAGTGAGGCAGAAATTCATTGATTATGCTGGTAGTCAGTATGTTAAGGACGGAGTTTAGGCTGGGATTGAAAGATGTTGTGTTGTTTTAAGCAAAAGAAAACGTAAGTTAAAAATTCAAATAATTAGCTTCATAAATTATAAAACTGAATCACAGACATGTTTATGTACAAAA